AAATTCAATTTTTCTTTGTGCCTGATTTTACTATTTACGACCATTGATGAGGCAAAATTTTTTAGTAAGTAATTTGAGATATGGGTGTTAAATTTTTGCATTGGATGTATACATTTTCATCGATTATAATGAGGAAGTTGTTGAGACATACATTCGGATTTTCAGTACATAAGAATTGGTAGTTAATAGTCGGTACGTTACTCTTATGTGTGGTCTCGAAGTTGATTTGTGATGACTTGACTATTAGCAATTTCAGTTGTGGAGCACAAGATTGCTACTTTTAATGAGAGGATGATTCGCTTGGGGTTGTGATTGCAGTTCACTTCTGTACATTTCTCCATTTCTCCAGCCAGTCCTCGTTTTTTTTTTTTTTTGCTTTAATTGGTCCTTTTGTTTCTATTTAGATTTTAACTTTTTTTAAATGCAGGAAAATTAGAAAATGATAAAGGCTTTTAAATTGTTTAATAACAGAGAATGAAAAAATTTGCACATTGCGTGGGTTCTTTGGCCACCTCAAGAATGAGAAGTTAAAATTTGAGTATTAAATGGTGGAAGGGGTGGCGCCACTATTGAACACTTTTCTTTTTAGAGTTCGATATAATTCTGGAATTTCGGAATCTTTGCAGTGCCAATATCATTAAACTTATAAAGTTTCTATGATTTGAATTGTGTCTGCTGAATTACCTGTGGATATATAAATCCTTGAACATTTTAATATTTTGTGAATGTTCATATTTGTTTTGCATAAGCAACAATTTACTAAGGTCCTAAAAATATACTGCAATACTTCAAACAAATAGATATATTTCTGTTTGCGTGTCACATTCATAAACCTCCTGTTAAGTGGTGTGACAATTTTTGTTAAAGGTCAGTTTTATGCGAATAGTTATCGGTTGGGGTTTCAAATATTTTCAGTGCAGACATACAGAAGCAGTCCGAATTTATCGAGAATTTGGCAGGTTGGATTGAACAGCTGTTAGTTGTAAGAAACAGGCAGAAAAGTGTTTTAACATATCGATCTCAAAGCATGAAAAAGTGCTATTAAAAAGTTCGGTAGCATGTGTTTGTATGCTGTAGGGCATGACGTAGACAGTCTGAAAACCTCATCATGGCTCTTAATTTCGACTGCTTTTTGGAAACTGTTTCGGGACTTTCGGACTTATTGTCCGATTAGTGAGGACAAGATTTTAAGAGCATGAATTGTACTCACAAATTCAACAATTTGGGCTATATTGTGGGAAGATGCATTTGATACTTTCGCCTCACGTTGTTACCAGCTGATGAGGGTCTAATCTTTTTTCGCGAAAATTCTGCCAATTTTTTGGTCGATGTGTATTTTATCTTAAAATATTGTCTATACGTTTTTATGAGTTTAAAAAATAGTAATTCAGTTTATGACGGTTGGTGTGACAGGAAGCTGCAGCAAACTCAGTAGGTTCTTCATTGTTTGATACAAAAGCTTGAAATGCTAATATTGGTTTGTGTGACAATCAGCCTAGAATTTGTAGATGTACAGAAACATGAAAAATGTGTTATTCAAATAAAAACAAATATAGGAAAATTATAGGAAAAAATACAGGATATAGGAAAAAAATGTAAGTTGAAAATCATTCATTTACAAAAACTAGAATGATGTATAGTGGTTTTTCAATCATTTAGAGAACAAGAAATATATTGGATATCCGGCTGGTACAAAGCAAAACTATTAACTAGTTGCTTTAACATGACTCTGTTCAGTTAGTAAGTATAACTAAAGATTTTGGTGAAGCAAAATTGAGACGTGAATTGTGAAATACACTGTTGCAATTTTGCTTGTTTATAATGTAAAAGAAAATTATTTACTGCGAGATGTGAGACGTTTTAGAGAAATATTTCTTCCGTTTAATACTTTTTTTACGTCTTGGAAATGAGATGTAAGAATGGAAATATGCACTGATTTTTCGGTGTTTTGTTCAGATTTTCATTTGAAAATGGAATAAATGAGAAAAGGACATAAAGGTAGAATTGCTTTCGAGAAAATGGAAGCTATAAAGTGTCATGACAATTGCTTATAGAAAACGTTTGTTCACATTTTATAGACACTCTGTAGTGACATTATTTTCTGTAACATTTTAATTTTTTAGTTCTCTCGTCAATTCTTTTTAATTTCATTTTCATTTTTAAAAAATTCGAAAGCAAGTTTAACTGTCGTGTAACCGTACTAATTTGTTGATTGTAACACGACAGGTTTTTTCATATTTATGTACTGATAAAGTCATTCATATATTGCAATTGTATAATTTAATTTACAACTTTCTTTTTAAACAAAGTTTCTAATTTTTTTCCAAAATTTCAAGTGACTATTCTGACATAAACGAAAATATGGCGCAGAAACATTGTGATATTGGTATTTAAATAATTAATTAAACTTGATTTTTTGCAATGCTTCATTCCACTATTTATAGCAGCAAATAGTTTTTGTAAGCTGTTGAAGCTAATCTCTCATTCGTCTGTTAGATGAAATTAAAAACCCTAGATTTATAATGCATAAGCGTAACTGCGTTCAACCGAAATCTATGTAAACGCAAGATGAGAAAATTTATACAAATGAAACATTTCAAAAGGATTTCATTTAGAGAAAAAGAAATACATAAGGTGTTGCAATATTTGATCGTGTTCTGTTTGTACGTTGATCATTATGGTAAACGGGATCTTTTTTGGTTCAGTAGTCTACATATTTTTTTTTTTCTTTTCAACTATCATAGAAACGCAGTTTTAGAAACGGGGACTGATAATAATGACCTTGTCGTGCACTTTTTTATTCTTTAAAATGATCAAATTTGATCTGTCCATATTCGGGTCGCATGTCCTTACCAATAACATTTTTCCAATCTGTAATATTTCGGTTCAGCAGATACCATCAATTTTATATTATTTCCTGACAATCCTTCGTGCTTCACTCTCGATACGATCGACAGTAATTTGGAACTTCTCTGCTCTATTATGCTTTCTTGTTCGATGTTCAATTATTTCATTGTCTTCAGTATTGCTTGACCTTATTAGAGCCTATAGAAAGATTGCTTCATTCTGCTTCTTCTTTCCTTCCTTCTGTCGACCTTTTTGATCCATTTCTTATGTGATACTAACGATGTCAACATCATCTTCGTTCATTCTTTTTTATACATTTCTCTTTCATAACCGTTTGAAACAATTACCCATCTCCCTCTCTCTCTCTCTCATCTATTTCATTCTGCATTTTGTTCTTGATTTAGTTTCTATTTAAATGAATAAAAAAGTGTTTAAAATTTCAATCGAGTAGTGCTCATCCGTTCTTCCAATCATTTCATCTTATGTTTCACATCTGAAATTAAAAATCCATCAATTCTGTGGGGATAAGTTCCATCAAAATAAATTGTTTCTTTTTCCAGCATAAAGTTCACTCGGTGACAGTATCCATAGTAAGAGCAGAGTCTGCTTGAATTTATTAAATGTTGTTTACTCCTTATATTTTAATCCAGATGTACTTATATGTGTCATTATGTCAGTAATTTTTGAGTTGTTCACAACATCGCAATCTTAGTAATTTAAAATTCAAACAGTTTCTTAGTCTGCTGTCAAGTCCCCTTCAACTTTAAAATAAATTATTTGATAGCTAATTTTTTACGACTTTCATAGCTGTTAGTTACAATGAATTACTGGGAGATGAAATGTAGATCTTTTTGTTCCTCTTATTAATCGTTAACTGAAAGTTATGATTTTGTCACAATTTCAAATAATGAACTATCTCTATTCCACTTCTTTGAAATGTGTATGCATGTATTCAAAAGATTTATGTTCAGTCAATGAGTTTTTAGCAGCCAGGGATTTTGATAATCTATATCGTAGTAAGCAATAAATTGTTTTATCCTTCAGCAAATACTACTTTCCGTTTTTCCTGCAATGTCTTCTGAACTGACAATTCTGATACTGAAAGTTTCTAGTCATCTTCAACCCAGAATATACTAGATTATTTTTATCCCAGAATAAATTACTTTTGCATTTGAATTTTCTAGCATGTAGCTGTATAAAGATTCGATAATTTTATTATTCGTTAATATATTTAGGATACGTTTTTATTTATTTATTTTTTTGACACGGATGTCATTAAAATTTTTTCTATTTGATTCTTTTAACATGAAATCTCTAATAAGTATGGCACCGTTTCTTGCATGAAAAACTCAAGTTTCCTGTAATATATTTTTGTTTGACTCAAAACTGATTTGTTTTCACTAACATTTATTCTGTTATCTTTACCAAAACTATCAATCCTCCTCAGGTGTTATGAGATATGAGAGATGCCTGAATAAACAGTATTTTCATAGACGGACAGTTTGGAATTAAAAATTGACAATCAAAAAACAATCGGAAAACTTTTTTTTATAAGAAGTGCGAGAGAGTGATTACTGTTAGAATTTAAAAAGCCTTATTCTGAAATTTTCATCTTTGTTTGTAATTGACGAAGAATAATTCCTACAATTTCGGTTGAGATTTATCTAAGGTTATATACAAAGCTATGACGGAGTTATAGGAATTGTAAATAAGAATAAAATGTCAGTGTTATGCAGCCACAAATTTTACGGCAATGTACATACACATTTTAAATTTATGTCTAAACTATGTTTGTTTGCTTTGTTATTGAATTGAATCAGTTATGCATATAAGGACTGTTTTATACATACTGTTTAACAAATAGCGAAAAAGACACCTTTTGGTAGACTATTATTTCAAAAGGTATCGGAAGCAAAGATTATTCACTTATTCAGTAACATAATTTCATTTGTAGGGAAAGAACTTAACGAAAATACTACATATTTCTGGCTAAAAGAAATTTTTCAGCTTTAGTATATTTAGAAAAGAAATTAGGCTTTATTGAGTGAAAAAGATATCAATTTTCACATCAGTCTGCGCTTTAAATACCATCAAAATGCGAAATTGGTAGTAAGTAAAAAAATTGTTGATTTTCAAATTTCCAATTTTAGCAAATGGATTTCTCCACGGTAAGCATTATCGGTTGGATGTATATACTATTTACCATATATCGCTTAATGCTTACAGTTTATAATTTAGTCTACCCGTTTTTCCTAGCTGAACCACGCAATCTCCGCGAAGTTGCTGGCGCTAAATGGGCAGGTGATTTCTTAAAAATCATAATTAACAAAACTTTGCCGTTGACTTATAATTTAAGGTAGTGTAATAAGATCTAGCATACCAGCTGGAATTGCGCAATGTAGCAATAATCACCATGCAATACATAATGATATAAAATTGAATAATCAAATTACACGGAAAACTCATATGATTTAATTTTCTCTGCAATTATGAGCATAATTACCGGAAGGAAAACAATAAAGTGGTACCATAAGTGTTTTCATGCTTCTTTATGAATTATAATCTCTCTATGTAGTGAAGTCACATTCTTGATAAGATAGTTAATTGGTTTAATTTCTGCGTTTTTTTTTTTTTTTCAGTTTCCATAAAATTTAAATGGATTGTGAGTTAAATGTTCAAAAAGTCCTGTTCAGTTTTCTCTAGAATGAGAATTTGATTTGATAAATTACTTCCATTACAGAACATACACCGACTTTCTTACCTTGAAAGAAATCCCTGCCTCCACGTCACGGAAGTTAGTTGCAGTAATTACTGGTGCGACAGATGGTATAGGTAAAGGATATGCATTCGAATTAGCAAGAAAAGGTTTTTCGATATTACTGGTTTCGCGCACACAATCAAGACTCGACGATGTTAAAGCCCAAATTGAAAAAGAAACTTCTTCGGAGGTAATGCAATTTTTGAATACTAAAGCAAATGGGAGACCACAAAGGCTACACTAACTATTCCAGTTATACAACAACAGCTAAGAATTTGAAATGTGACTTTGAAGTAAAACAAACTCTAATTCAGTAAATTGGATGCTGTGAATTACAAGTTTAAATTTAATTCCTCAAGTAAAGATAAATGAGCTTCCAGGTTCGAACAATTGTTTTCGATTTTTCTAGTGCAGATATTGATTACTACGAACATTCATTGCTGTCACAAATCCGAGCACTCGACATCGGCATTTTGGGTTCATGCCATATAAATTTAAATGTTTTCTTGGCCTTTTTTTATTTTAGAATCTCGTATGCTTGAATCATAAGCCACCTATTAGTTTATGTATGTATCTTTGTGGGATATGTTAAGATTATGAAGATAGGAAGATAAATGGAATTAAAACATCAATGAAAAATTTTTTGAAAGTTAAAAATGACATAAAACATGTTGCATTTGACTGCATCCTCTATGGAATTCTATATGGGACTCCGGAATTAAGATAAAATAAATTGAATTATTTTCAAACATAATTGTTACTATTCTCAGTGCATTTTTTTTTCTAACAAATTTAAAAGCGTTACGTTTATCCTTCCCAAATACGGATTACCTTATGTCACATTTCTGTGTTTTCATTTCCCGGAATCATATTAAGCATATTAACTACACATTACTCATTATTCAGTGAATAGCGTTGGATCTACATTCGAATACCCCGATTTGTACCACAAAGTTGACGGAGGTGTTAAACTATTCAGGCATATCACTGTGATCAATATCATTCCTGTAACATTGGTAAATATTCTTTCTGCTCGTACAATAGATATTAGGCACTTGACGCTCTGATTTTCATTCTAATCTTTCATTATAAGAGATGTTTGCGATATTTCGTCTGGACAGAATGAGAGTCATAATGATAAAATGCAAGATGTAATGAACAGCAATATGGGTAACAGCAACTGAGATTAATACTGAATAAGTAAGTATTAGCAAGTTCAAATAGAAATGAAATATATTTAATAAGCACTTCAATAAACCGATATTTAGCTAATGGCAGCTGTATTACCGCAAATGTATGAACGAAATTCAGGCATTATAGTCAATGTAGCTTCATCCTCGGCATATTACAAATTACGCTGGTTCAGTGTGTATGCCGCATCGAAGGTTGTGTTTTCCACGTTGTTTTGAGGAGGGATCATAATTATTACCGCAATTAATGTCACACACTTAACACTTATAAGCGAAACAATTTTATACCAATTCCTATACCTCGATTTATAACATAATAATGTCATTACACTACTTCTAGTGTCTGTGTCCTCCGCTGTTATCACTTTTTTTCTTTTTGAAGGTATATCCGTGTTCCTGAAAGCCTTAAAGTGAACCTTTAGTTAAAAGTTTTGAAGTTTTAACTTATTCTGGGTATGCATATTCAACGTCTTATATTTTATTTATTTCGAAACTGCTAGAAATTAAGATATGACCACGTAGGTTCTAGAAATATATCTCTTGGTTAACGAAAATAGTGCAGAAAGAATATGCGAAAACCAATATTATAATACAGGAAGTGAATCCAATGATTGTGGTCACAAAACTAGCCAAGGTGAGTGGTCAACTACATATAGATTTAATATCTGGAATTGAAAATATGCATTTCCTTCACAGAACGAAGGAAAAAAAAAAAAAAAAACGACAAAACTACTTTACTATACTTACCCGGTGTCTAAACAGCAGTGATTTTCACAAAATTTTTTGGATTATTCATTAAAATAATTTTAGATTTTGCAATAACTGTTTATTTTAGGTCAAAAAACCGTCATTTTTCCGACCAAAGGCTGACGTCTACGCTAGATCTGCTGTGCAAACAATCGGAATCATAAAGCATACAACTGGATATTTTGCTCATCAGATAAAGGTTAACTGCACCTACAAGCAATATTTTTTAGTTCATCTGAATTCAAAAATTGTCCGATTTTTTTGAATAATTTACCAGCGTTTTACTTTAAAAACACCAAGTCGTAGAGAAAATAATGAGAAATAAATCAAGGAATTCGAATTCTTTCGTGTATACAGAGCACTAATTTTAATTATTTTTCCAGGTGGAGTGCCTCAAATGGCTACCGGAATTCATTGCTGACGCACAGATTCACAAACGGATGATACATTTTCACAAGGTAATAGTGGCTAGAAAGATGCGTCAAGCTGCTATCACTGAGCCTACTGATGCCAAAAATATTGGTGCACAAAATAAAATCATTAGTGATTAAGTGCTCAAATTACAGATAGCTTCTTACAATGTTTCTAAAGCTTAAAGCCTCTCATGGTGAACTGAAATTTGTAAAGTTTGATTGGAAGATTTGTCCGGATTCTTTGTAGAAAAATGGAATACTTTGAGTTCTCAAGCCTAAAATCTCGAAGAAATCATTCTCATAAGTAAAAAACTACTGGTTAGAAAAATTGGGAAAGTGATTTCCGTTAACTCGCACAAGGTGATATTATTCAAATCAATTTTACAAGTACATTCCACCTTCCAACCACCGCTGGTACTGTTTCCGAGAAATGTAATAAAACAAGGGCTATGCTCTTGAGTGCTTTGACAGACAGTACCTCAAACAGTTGTAAATGCATTTACTGAATTGCAATTCCTTTGTAATTTGAAATGTTGAAATAGTTTGTTAAAACAATCATAAATAAAAATGTTTTCATTAACCACCTCTATTCCGCATCTACCAAAGCGTTTTATATTTGAAGTTGCAAGCTCACGACCGATTTAACGGTATTGAAAAACAATTCGCATTAATCTCTGAATGTTTAGTCATTTAGCACAATGTGGTCAAACTTAAAGAGACTTAAGCAGAATTTTACAAATAACATTCCTTCTCCCATTTCTAAAGATTTCAAATTTGCTAAGAACTCAAACGATATAGATTCTTGCACAATTTTTAGGCCTTATTAACTGATAAGCAATCAATTCTATTTTTTTCTATTTCGCACTCAATTTACATTGCAGATATTTAAACAACGTCACCCAAGCGAGTGCTTCTTTATAGGGGCTGATCATAAAAAATATCAGATCTCAGTCACTGCCTTTCACACCTAACCTCGACCCACACGACCCAACATGACCCGAACCCGATACCACTTAGAATGAATAAGAACATAAGGTCTTGCGGAGATTATGTAAGATATATTACAGCACAATTTCAACTGCTATTCTATAATGGTTAGTGAGAGGAACATTTTGATGGGTGAAGAAGACGCTTGGAGGTGGTGTTTTTAATTTCCGTTTATCCCATCAATCTTCATATTTATGCTTAGACATTCCTCTCCTTAAGAACATACATTTAAGGAGAGGAAGGACCATAAGTTTGAGTATTTTGCTTTAACGTCGAAAGGCCTTAGTTTTTATTGTGATTCACTTTTGTTCCACAGGGTTATAGTTCGTTGATTCTACCCTTTTCTCATAAGGGTAGATATCTTCGAATTTGGGCGAACATCTGCACTTTGCAGTTGGATGCGTCTTATGTGCAAACGCGGTGAGTTCTAATACTTTTTTTTTTAATTGAAATTTTACGCTGTTCTGAAAACTGCTCATTGCAGACATTACTATGTTGAAAATAAACAGGGTAATTTACAAAAGTCTGTTCGAATCATGTAATATCATTTGGTTGTTATGAGTTATGCAGTCAAGGATATCTTGTGGTAGTACAACTGAAAAAATTGCTAGGAATTATATTGTAAATTTATTCTAAAATTAGTTCTTGTATCATTCTTCGAACGTTTAAAGGAAAGTTTACGAAAAATAATCTTCCTAACACTCTGCAATTTAGTTTTATTTTTTAGATTTAAAACAAATAAAATAATTGTTATATTTTTAACTGAATTCATAATTGGACCTGTTAATTGCTTTTTTGTTTTTCATAAATTTTATTTATTTAGATCAACCATTTTTTATAAGAGAAAATTTGTTGTAACAATAGCAGATGGCGAATGCTATTCAACGAAAAATTGCTGTGATGGGTTATCCCTGTGTTGGTTAGTTAATATTCTTTTTTGAATATTGTCAATAGTAGTAGAGAACAAGTAGAGTGATGAAAGGAATCTTCTGAGTATAGAGTGCTGAGTTGTATTAAATTATGCAAAGAGTGAAGTGAATTTACTGTCATTATCAACCTAATTAAATGGAAATAATATATAACGCTGCCATTCTAAGACGACGCAAAAAAAAAAAAAAAAAAAAAAAAAAACAGTGTATGAAATATTTAACAACTGATTTTGAAAACTTGAGATCAAACACAGAGCATGTTCAAATTACTTTTATTACTTTTCGTTTATTTTTTAGGGAAATCTTCTATCACGTTACGGTTTGTGTATGGTAATTTTCCTGATGCATATGATACAACTATTGAAGATATTTATACAAAATCTTATAAATTTAATGGAAAGCAGTTTGCTTTGCAAATAACTGATACTGCGGGACAAGTAAGCCTCTGTTGTGTCATCATCGAGTATTTTTGTGAAATCGTTGCTCATCTTGACAAGTGATTTTGAAATTTTCAGACATTCATTTTTGAAACAGATTTTTTAATTTCTTTCAGCAAGAATTCTCATTGTTTCCTCGTAGCTGTGCAATTGACATTGATGGATATATCCTGGTTTATGCGATTGATGATCGAAAGTCGTGAGTTAACAAGAATTCGTTTATTTCACGAGTATTATACATAGTTACTTCCACTTTCGTTTCAGTGGTAGAATACTCTCTTCTCTTTTACTTTTATTACTACTTTGATTTGAGCATTACTTTTGTTTGCAGATTCGAAATAGTTCAGTCGATTTACGATAAAATAATGGAAAATCTCGGGGACAAAAAGTGAGTGGCAAAATTTCCTAGCGTTTGATTATTGAACTTTCTGGAAACATTTTTTGGTGAAGTCCTGGTCTCAAAAAATTAAACTTTAATTTTCAGTATACCAATTGTGGTTGTGGGAAATAAACTGGATCTGCACTTCAATGCACGTCATGTTTCAACAGAGGAGGGACGGCAGCTGGCTGTTGCTTGGAATGCTGCTTTTTTAGAAACATCAGCGAAAGATAATACAGTAGGTCTCCGATACATTTTTTCTCGTTTTTTTTTTTTTTTTTCAGAATACATCACAAACCTTTGTTTTTTTTACCACTTCCTAAATATAATATGAAAAATCCCTTGATTAGTCGAAGAATATCATCGGACAAAAGATTGCTGGAATTGAAGTAGTGAAATTGTGGCACGATCGAAGCATTCTCGTTGTAATTGTTCAGTGCTTATTCTGCGTAACATTATGAGGAAAAGAAGGCTAAATATTTACAAGAAATCATTATACTATAGCTCCTTAGTTTCTGAGCTAAACAAAAGCGGAATATAGCATTCTCTTGGAATATAGCCAAAAGTTACTTAAAGCAAAATTTCTACGAGTTGATTCACTATCGGTTTACTAATTTCGGATAATTTTTTACAGTCTGTGGAACAAATCTTTGATTGTTTGCTGCGTGAAATTGAAATTGCCAATGGGAATATGAAACGAAACCGGAATGGTTGTGTACTTTCTTGAAATTAATAAGCCAGAGCAGCTTCTGTGCTAGAATGAGGAAGCTCCTTTTTACGCTGCCAAAATCAATTTTGCGCTCATTTGTAAATTATTGTAAATATTGATTTTGTCATATTTCTTTTTACTCCATCCTTATCTTTATGAATTTAATTGTTCGAAAAGTTCTGTGAAAATTTGAATTTAATAACTCTGATTCGACGGCCTAGTCGATGCCATCGTGTATATTATGCTCAAAGTGCATTAAAGGAGTATGTTAAGTAGTTTGCTGATACAAGTAACAACTTTGTGCTTTTTCACTTCGTTATGTTTGTATTATATATATTATTTCTTCACTTCATTTTATGTCGAAAATTATAGAAATTTTTTATTGCTAAAAGGCGTCTAAGCTAAAACCATCTGAAAAAACTGAAGATAGGTTTTAATAGTTTTTATCGAGAATTCGATCTTATATTTTTTTTCAAGTAAATATACTTAGTCGTCCTTATGCAGGCCTTCCTTCTACTCTGAAGTCGTTAATATTTTCGAATAATATGTATGGAATTGCACCACATTGGTGGCAGCGGATATCTAAATCGTGGTGTGGCGATTCATTGTGCTGCTGAACATATGTTATGATTTTTGTATTTTTAAATTAGAATTAGGAGGACAAATAATGAATAATTTAATGGAAGTTTTTGCACACGTTTCCATCCCAACCTTTCGCAACCAGAGTTGGTTCACCATAATTAGCTTCTCTAAATCCTCCCACATTTTCTTTTATACTTTGTGGATTAGAAGTATTCGTATATTTTTGTCACTGACTGGTGTGGAATGTTATTTTCGAAATTTTTCTACTTTCGCGAAATTTCTATTGTAATAGAGATTGCGCCTTTATTCCACTTTTTATTTTTTCATTCCCTGCGTTTTTACCTTTTCCGTGCATTATGAATAGGTTTTCTTATTATTGGTAACCATGATACTACTGCGATATATTTAATGTCCTGTTTGCTTTTTTAGTAACTGCAAAATTTTGCTGGTTTTTACCAGCTTATTTTCTAACCATATCCGGGATCTATACATTCCCATAAATGCATATATGATTTAAATTTCATGTCTTCATGTTTTCATTATAATTTGATGCTTTCGGTTTTGCTTTCAATTTTATGATTCTGATGCTTTCGGGATGAAGGATGAAAGATTATTAGTTTGAGAGAAGGTAATTTTTCTGCAGTAGCAACTAGCAATCTGAAATTAAGCCAGATTTCACTCTGAGACATTGACTTTCTAAAGCATTGTCATTTCCTTGAGTTTATCTCGGTTTGTTTCCTGAGATAATTTGAGATTATGATTTTGTTAACTGACAGATGAACTTCGTAGAATTCTGTCTACCAGTGTGATGACTTATTGGTACGATCGGCGGGGTTCAGCCTTTTATTTTCTTGTACATTCTGTAAAATTCTCTTCATCTAGAGTGAGTGTTTGTATTGTTGTGTATTGCTTATTGTTTGTTAAGGTTCGCTAGTTATTTCATCATTTGTAAGTTGTTCATTTTTCCTACTGAAGGGGTTGATATCAATGATGGAAAACATGAGTGTAAGTTATGTTGAACTGTAACTACCGGAAATTTTGAAATACTGTAAGTTGAAAAGGTCGTTTTGCACATGAAGCGAATCAGGTCCATTGAATGTATAGGGAAAGCTATTTTGGGAAGAAGAGGAGAGGAAAAACGGGGATTCCTCATAGAAATCAATGAAGAAAGAAATGGAAGTATAAGGCTTCTATCTCTGAAAATGATTCTTCTATTAGAATTATCAAAATGATTTGTGCTCCCAAGAAAACATTACTATTTTCACTGTAATTCATTTGTGTTTGTCTCAGCTGGTATCGTTTAGGCTAGGTTGATGATCGTTAACTTGGTTTGTCTCACTTTTCCTCATTATAAATTGTGTTATCGTTACGTAAGGTTAGTGGAGAAGTCTTACCTGCATATATGTTTATTTGTTGAATATGGTTCGTAGTATCAGGAAGAGGTTTATCACTGTCGTGTTTATCTCAATCAGAGCCCCAACAAACATCATTCCTGAGGTGGTGTTGGTCGTTACCTGTTGCAGAGTCAATATTTTTATTATTTGCTGTTCATAGCAAACAATTCCGAAGAAATTTATTCGTGATTGAAATGATTGACAGTTTATACTTGCATTGTACTGTAAATTTTTTTTGTTGATTAAGAATGGTTTTTAGTGTGTGTCACTTGTTTACAGCTAAATCATTCCATTTGAGCCGACTACTTTTAAAAATGCAAATTGGGTATCTAGCTTAACAGTTTCATATTATTATGACAGGACAGGGCGCATTGTAGAAAATTCTTCCGCAGGAGAGGAATAAATCTTCATTATGCTGAAAGAGAAAAGGGTACCACGAGCCGGGATCGAACCGGCGACCTTTAGGTCTTCAGTCTAACGCTCTCCCGACTGAGTTGCCTTTGCGGCGGCACTGTTTACCCACGCATTGCCAACAAGTATCAGTACTGATAACAATATGATAATAATTAAGATTAATAGCAGGGTAGTGGTTAATAATAATAATAAACAGTAATAAAATTTTCAGCCAGCCTATGTTGGATTTTTTTAATTCATAACTCTCAGATCATATTTTTTATTTCTAAATAGATAATTGGAATAAAGTTTTATTACTCCATTTATTTCAGCTTCTCATGGAATGCGACGATCGTTTTCACCAGTCAGGAATATTGCATGCAACACGTAAGATTTAAAATACATATAAGCTTATAATCCGAGTTATATTTTTCTCGAATTTTATTTTGGGTATGAAATCGAGCTAATGTCCATCTGCGACAGGTTAAATACGAACTGGAAGCATGTCGATTGACTCACAAGAAAATATTAAGATTATTTAAGTTGTTCTACTGACTTCGTAGAGATACATACTTCAGCTATTGTAATGCAAAATTTCAGTGTAAGCAGGATTTCACTGCATAAAAACCTGTTTTTCCTTAATTGAACTTTGCATTGAATTTGTAATTTAAGCAGTCTGCTGTCTCCTACTCCTTCTGTATATCCCTTAACAGATAAGGAAATAGTGAGCGAGTTTTAGAAGTCCTACAAGTCTTTAAGTTTAGTAATGGCCATCATGGTCGAAAATTCAACAAATGAATTTTTACAAACTCATTTTTTAACCAAATGTTTTCACAGTTCGTCGATCTTCATCAATTATTTTTATTTGGAAGAGAAATAATTTAGTGATATTTGAAATATATGTATATTTATTTATTTACTAATTTCAGACTGAATTTGACACAGATGGCTGCAAAAATAGATTCACTGAAAAAGTGGACCGTTTCGACTTACAAAACGACAAAACAGTCAATATGTGAAAATTTAGGAAGAGTTAGGAAATTTTTGAAGTTTCTCTTTAATAAAATTTCATCTGTTTTTGCTAGAACTTTTGTTATATATTTTATTTTCTTCCCTCCTCACTAGTTTCGTCTCTGTTTTCTATTTATGTTGTGGTGTTAATTCATTTTTTCGCCATTTTTGAAGGTATTAAAATTAATGTTGAATTTATATGTATTTTAATGTTATTTGGTCTGATAATAATAATATCTAGATAGAACGCACAGTTGACAAGGAATTAGAAGAACAAATCGAACAACTGAAAATATTGCACAAGTATTACAATCAGGTTTGCTTCTTAATTTGCTATTGGTTGCTTAGTTTTTTTTTGATTATTATTTTATTTTATTTGTTTATCTTTTTAAAAAGCGGATTTTAATTTGCTTCAGGTGTTAACAATGTCAAAATTATTCATGTCAAATTTTCATCAAATGAATGAAGCACAAAAAAGTTTAGCGGAATCCCTTTATCAACTCTCACTGAAAGAAATGAGTTTGAAAGTAAGTACTTGTCTTAAAAAATTCTTCGAACTCATTATAGCTGCTTCGAAAAATCTTTTTCTTATAAGCAGTTTTTTTATTTTTAGCAACAAAAGCTGATTGATTATGATTTCTTTGAAAACTTTTATTTGGAGCTACCAAATTCCATTTTTCATGTGTGTGAAATCTTGGTTTCTAGTGATGCTATTCAAACTGTAGTAGTAGTTGAAATTGTAGCAAATTGTAGTAATACAATTTTTGTAAACTTTTTAGGCAGAGTGTTCTTCGAACTGTGATTCGCTGCGTTCGGTAGCACATAACGGTGAACTTCTAGAACGAGCTTTGTCGTTTTTTCTTTCATCAATTAAGACATTATCTGAGAAAACTTTTGAAGATACAATAGAAACAATTCATAATTATGACCAGGTTGTTCTCATTAACTCCAATCAAATCAGTGCTAAGATCCCGGTGTTTTTCGATGCTTTTAGACAAAAAGCTCCATTCGAATTTAAACTGCCTCTATGGTTTTAACTTAACATAGTGTTCTTTATAATGGAATTTTCAAAAGTAGAATCCAAGTGTAACAAATTGTGAAAAAGGTAGTGCAAAAGCCGAAATAAATTTTCACCTGTCACGTTACCTTTAGGCTCGTTTGGAATATGACGTGCATCGCAATGAAATAGTGGCGCTACAGCACTCAAATGCAAGTCCTGAAGCAATCGCAGGCGCAGATTTCAGATGTAATCAGCATCGAAGAAAATACGAACAACTAAAAGCTGACGTTAAGGTCTTTTTTTCTTTTCTAGTTCATTTTTCACCAAAGTAGAGCAAGAGTTAGGGAATTTTTTATTAGTATGTGTTGTTATTGTTGTCGGAATTCTACAACGTCAGCAATAATCTTATTGTTCTTTTCTGACTCGCGTGATAATAGGGAGAAATGGACAAAGCGAATATTAAATAGTACCAACAGTGCATTAAATGTTTGCAAAGTGTTCGTACTTGCTATAGTCGCCGCTGTACCATCGTTTGTTGAAAGTGAATTGTGTAAGTGCTGAAATGATCCAAATCAAAGCTTCAATCCAAATACCAAATAATAGTTTTAACTTCTCATATATAGTGGTTGTTGGCTTACAACAACATATGATCACAGTGAGTAAAGAGCTATCACTCACAGTTCATCTTTATCTTTACACAGTGAGAGTCCGTTTAGAACATTATTCAGTTACTTGTAAGAGTGACTGTTAGATTGGAAGACCTCTACAATATTCCAACATTACATGGTTTATAAGGGAGTTAACTGATTTTTTAGCAATCGAATGTAAATTTGGCTGTCGATTGGAACACCTTCATAACAAAAGTGGTGGCAATTTTGAACATATTACGCAGAACATTTTTCATTAACAGATTTTAACATTCTAGACAATGCACATAGAAGCTAGCTATAATTGGAAGATGTTTAAATAAACAGTATTTAGTCTACATTAATGCAAAATTCTTTTGACATAAATTTATTTTGGTTTTTAATATAAAGTCCAGGTTCATCGAAGTGCGTTTGTTTTGATAAGTAGTAGCTATAGCTAGAACCAAAAAAAGCTTTTTCCTAAACGAAAATAAAATGCATTCTACAGTGAGGTTCTGTTTTTCAGGTTAAACTGAGATTACTAGAAGAGAATCGATGGAAAGTAATGCGTAAGCAGTTGTTACTTCTTCATAATGCCTTGATCGCGTATTCTTCAGGTACAATTTATCTGCTCCATTTACACAGAGTGAGTAAAATCAGAATTATCTCGAGGACATAAATCAATTTGATTATATATAGATTTTAATTAGTTTTTTTTTCTTTAAATTAGTAGCTGCTTCTGTACTAAAGCTGAGCGAAAAACTTCCGATGGTACATTTAGGCAATGCGAAGGCCTTGCATTCAGCAGTGGAAAATTTAAATTTGGGCGAGACAGCAAATGAAGATTTTGCTTCCTCATTTTTGGAGCAATGAAACAATTATCCAATATAAAGCAGTTTTAGTCCTGTAATGTCTGAGTTCAAATTCAGCTCATTAAACGCTTTAATAACTTACACATGACTGCAATTCACTTTCTGTTAATCAAGTTTACTTTTCATTGCCAAATATATAATAAATTATAAAGAGGCATTGGAGGTGTAAAATACTTTAAATTATCTGTCATTACTGAAAAAGTAAGGAAAGTGCCTCGGACCATCTTTGAGACACTGATAATAGGAAAAATAGGTTGTCATAACTACTGAAGTATTTCCAAAAATTTTTTTACCATAACGGCTTATCTACCTTCAACATTAAGAATATAATTTTTTTTTTTTACTTTTTAATGTTTTTCTGCAATTGTTTGCACATAGCGATCAGCGCAAACAGTCGGCAAGTTAAAGGCGGTTTAGCTACGTCAGTCTTTCCACCGGATTTATAGACTGGAAAAAAATAAACTTAACAATTATATGCTTCAACGTAGGAGTCTGCGTAATGGTTGCAGTTTACTTACTTTTCATTAATAGAGTAGAATTGTGGCTATAGTTGAATTATGCGTTAATCTTGACTAGATATTAACTGCTGTTTTTGTTTTGCACATATTTATTCCTCTCTTTCGATCAGTTCGGTCTCCTTCTTCACCTGTCAGCTGTCGTACTGTTTATATGAAGATATTCGAGATACTGTTTATATGAAGGTTTTGGGAGGAGCTTAGCAAAGAAGCACTCTTGGACCAGTTTATGATGAAATAGATGTTTTGAATCTTCATAATAAGATTTGTAGTAAGGAAGTATAACTAAGCTGTGAAGAGTGTTTTTTTGGAAGCGAGCACTTTGCTGTTTCAACTTCGGTATTTCGGCAAGCTTTTTTGGCCATTTTCAGAATTTTTTGAAAAAACGGCTTAGACGTATTTATGCCTCATGAATTTTATTTTTAAGTTGCATCTTAAATGATAATTTCATTGTTATTTATATTCATTGTAAACACTGTTTCACATAAAATCAAAATGAGCACTTTGTTGTTCATTGTTTCCCTTTTAGCTTTACACTACCGAAATTAATGAGAAACAAGAATTTGGGAATTGAAGGAAAGTATGAAGACGAGGATTCGTATGATGATGAGCAGATTTACATACGAGAAATAAGGGAACACATTCCAAAGAAATCAATTTATGATTTATTTCACCAATAAATGAATCAATAACTAATGCAATACATTAGCGTTCAGAAAGAGCAGCGATCATATGTCGATAAAGTATAGTAGGGATGGGCTCGATCTTTTGGAAATATGTGTGTGTATCCTGTACTTGTAGACGTTAAATTAAAAAACACGGTGACAATGCAGCAATGCAAGTAATTGACTATGTATTAAGTTCAGTTCATACTATAATCGATTGCAAAGTTGCAAGATAGCAAACATTTCCAGCACAGCTTTGTAATAATGGTGGGAATTGGAAGTTAATCATCGTTGCTACGTCGATGATGCTCTTGCTCAAATTTTTTTAGATCTGTGAATGCTTCCTCGAGGTCCTTTGTACCTCGACGAATCTCTTAGTTTTCATTTCAGTTCTTGGTAATTTAACCAGTACTAATGTGACTTCGGGGACTTATTGGTTAAAGCATTCTATATTACATTTATGTTGCAAGCTATATTTAATGCTTACATAAGAAATTATATTTACATATTTAACGTTTGAAAATATGGGATTTCTCAATTTCCCAATATTAAACACTTTTTTCTATTATTAGTTAAACATATTGGAATAGAAATTTGCGAGGAATGCCTGTATCTTCTTATTTGCATTTTCTTGGTACAATAATGTGTTGAAGGACTACACTGTTGTGTTTCTAAATGTTAAACAAATATCGTTAAAGCAAAATCGCACATTTTAATCTTTCATTGATGTATTATACTTTGTGAATTAGGTACAGCTTGAAATATTCCTGTGCTTTTCAAAGTCATTAGTTTCACAGAAATTGCATTATCGTGTACTTTATCTTATTTTGTTTCTCCATTTTATCCAATCTTTCATTTGTCCATCTCTTCATTGTCCTCTGTCTTCGGTAGTTTTCCGAGAACTTCCATTGGTCGTTCAAGTAGACAAGAGGAGGAAAATATTCATCCCTTTCACGATACAACTTTCCGATCTCTTTCTTTACTCCTCTTTAGAAATAGTACTGAATTATAGAACATCATCGTTCCACTTTTCCTAATTCTTTAAATGCTTCAACAGGTTACTTTTGCACTTTTCTTATTTTTTAAATTTCAATTTTGATTTTTCCTGTCTTCCAAATAAAGGCAATGAAGGCGAAAACCAGGCTTTCTTTGAAAAAGTCACAAAATGTTTATTAGTCAAAAGATTAGTTTAGTATTTGAACTACACTTTTGAATTGTCTCGAAATGCAAACTATTCCTTGGAACTTCTCAGATTCTTAAAAGATCGAAGTTCATTACTAATCAGAGAAGAAAATGTCACCTCATAAACTTTATGAGAAAGGAATAAGCGGGAAAAGAGTTTTGTGAGAATCGGAGAAATTACTTAATAGGGCTTTAAAAGAAAAGTCTTTGATTCAATAGTTTTTTTCTTAAGTAAATTTTGTTAGGTGTATTAAGTATTGGGTCAGAGAAATTCTTTCTGTTTTGATCCCTTTTTTTTTTTTGTATTTATAAAGCAAAGTTTTTTAAAAGCGCCCTTATTTCTTAGGAAGTACTTAAAATACTGCTTTATGAGTGAAAGGAATAAATTTAACCTAGATTTGTACACCTGACATTATTTAATTCAACTAAATTGTACTGTTTTCCAAATGTGAATTGGTGAAAGAAAGATGAACGAAAAGTGATAAAAAGTGCAAAATAAGGTGTTTGATTTAAGCCGTATGTCCATTCTAAATATCTAGATATTTTCCATTTCCGTCAATCATTTCATCTTTTCTAGAAATGCAAAAGTGAAAAGAAAAAATCTCTTGAATTTTCAGGTGTGTAATGAAAAACTGTATCGCAACTTGATAACAGATTGAAAGTTGATTTTAAGAAGAAAAAATGTCACGTTGGATATTGAAAGTATAAATGAAACCGACGATATACATCAGAAGTGTGCCTGAATGACAAATGTTTAAAGCATATTGTTCAGTAAGTTAGTTTACTTGTAAATTGTTTTTTAAATTACAGTTAGGTTTACGTTTACTGTATCTCTTTAACTATTTCTCTTGGTAAGAGATAGAGTGTTAAATTGTTACAATTAATTTTAGTTATAACCTTAACATATGTTTTTTATGTTTACCTTCTTCCTATAACACTAGTATGTGTAGGAAGAGCAACGAAATATAACCAAAGCAAGTTAACTAGTTTACGAGAAAGATGAAAGTATTCGGTTGTTCGAAAAGAGGAGAAAGAGTACAAGGAGTAGTTTTCATTAATTCAAATGCAGGATACCAGAACTGCAACCATTGGTGAACAAAAAATAAATTAGATTGCTTCTGGTTTCCTTTACATACATTAAATCTTGACTTGTTTTAATTTGCTTCAGTGCATACATTATAGATTGCTTCTGCATACATTAAATCTCTTGACTTGTTTTAAACTTTTCTTTATTTGTTTAGCTAGCGATAAAATATTAAGCTTGAGAGGAGTAAAGGATAAAATGAGAGTGCGGCATACTCTGGAAGGTAGTCATACAAACATTTCGATAAATAAACTTTTGTTGAAAAAGTGGCAAAGACGACAGCACAAAAAAGCTCTAATGAGTATTTCCATTCATTTCTTCCTGTTATGATGTAGAAGTCTGCTAATGAATTGAAATGCTCTGTTAAGAAATGAAATAAGCTTGCAAAAAAGGGAAAAAAAAATGTCTTCCATATTTTAGATCAAATGTGTGTGTGTGTTATAGATATCGTGACGCACACTTAAACAGTTCTGTTTAATTGATGCAAAACGTTCATCTATCATTTAAGTAAGAAACACTGTTTATAAGTTGCCTCCATGGTCTTCACTAGAAGAAAAGTGGATAAGGGTATGGTGCAACACTAATTTATCAAACTTAAATATCATATATACCAAATGAAGTTTGAGATTAAACAGGAGAATGATAAACATGACTATTAATAACAAATTTCAGTATATTTAGAACATTCCCTCACTTTGACAATATTTCCTTTCCTGTTTACTTGTCACTGTCGCCACTTACCAAACCAGCATTCACATGTACTAGTTAACTTTTGTTTTTCTTCTCACACATGTCCCACCGTTTTATCCTACGCCAATCTTAAAGTCGCAGTTTTACGGCTTAATTAACTTCTCAAGGCTAACGATGATGCATTTTGAGTATCGCATACATCATCAACAGCTCATTGTTTACTTTTGTGATTTCTCCACCTCCAAAGTTATTTCGTAATTTCTTTATGTTCTATTACAAGGAACCACATTCCATCCGTTCCATTTATTGACATTCACTCAATGTTTGAAAAATTCCCTTCTCACTTACTAACATAGCTTTTCCAAGTTTGTTTACCTACTTCCATTATCAGATGAGGTCAAACAAAGTTTAAAATGTTCGCTTTAATTGATTGATTCACTTATTTCCTTCTTGGATCAATGTTGATAAACATTTTGCACCTTGCGATATCTATTCTTTTAAATACCTACCCTTTCCGGTGTAAATGGCGAGGAATTACCAATCTAATTAATATAATTAATGAGTATATGCATTTAATTTGTTCTTAAATATTTCCGTTAGATAGAAAACAGAATCGCACATACTTCCTGTATATTTTCTTCAATTACTGTCGATTTGTAGTGAGCTGTTAACTTATTTATTTGTTGATCGACAACTGAAATTAAGCTGTTATCTTCCGATTACGCTATTGGCATCAAATTCTCTTTTTTGATCATGCTATACTTTTCGCTCAATAGGTTTTCATAATTTATTATATTCCCTTCTTTAGATCTCGTGAAAAAACATTTGCGAATTAGAAGAGTGCAATATCAAATATTCATCTGGTTATGTCAAAACAGTTAAAGTTGAGAAAAAATGAAACGGTATAGATTATAAATACAACATGACAGTTTCATGCATAATTTAAATGAATTTCCGAGTTTGTATCCTGTTGAATGAGTAACTTTCAAGTCAGTTTTTGATTTGATTCATTTATTAAAGTGCAGTGGTCGTAGTATTCTTTGATTTTAAGAGACTGAAAGAACATTGCTAGCACAGATATGCGTTATTATTGGTGGTAAGCTCATAATTGCTTTACCTTTTATGCAACTCTTTCTTATTTACCGAAATAGTAAGCTACTCTCGAATCTAATTCTGTTAATAATTGAATATTCCTTTTCTCTTCATGCAAGTTACGCACTCAGCTGTTGTTTTGGTGATATTGGTAATATCGATGACAGTTGTTGAATGTTTTTTAAAGGTTAGAGTTAAGATCTGGAAACTGATCCTCATGGATTTTTAAAAAAGCAGTTTTAAAATAGTGTCGATTGCCGTCTTTTTAGTTGAATTAGACAATTTCCAACCTTCTATTGTTCAATATTCTGTGATAGAGGCTGAATGACTATGCTGATAAAATGATGGAAAGTTGAAATAGACTAGAACGGAATGAAATGAAGGTTAAGGCCATACTCTAATGTGACTGAATTTTATTTAATATGTTATCGTAGAACTCACGAAAGACCCCTCAAAAAGAGCAAAGTATTTAAAAGTTTTTAAGATACATAAAATGAGTGTAAGCCAGATAGCGGTAGTGGTGATAGTGATGCAGTAGTAGTGCGGGTGGTTTTTCGGGAAGTGGTAAGGAATAAGAGAAACTGTTTTGATGATATGAGACGAATAAAACTTATGCAAGCTGTTATAGAAAGCTGCTAGGAATTTGATGTTTGAAAAAATAAATAGCTGAGAAAGAGAATGGAAGAGCAGACGAGAAGCCAAAGGACATTTTTGTTGAAAACAGTCAAGTTCTTCGGAAAATAAACCTAAATGCTGAAAGTGTAACAATGTGAAAGATAGCTGTCAAGCGAATAAACTTTCTTTTGTTATTTTCTTCAAGTTTAACAGATCGAGCAACCAACTAGTTTTTAGGAAAATTATGGATTAGGAGGTGATGATGATACATACGACCAAGTGGTCAGTTCATTTATTTACATTGATGAAGATTTTCCTTTCCATGTTGCTGAAATCTTTTTATCTTTAATTCATATATCCTCCTGTGAAGATGCCATGAAATCTTCTTGTTCTGCTTAGAATGCAGAAAAAGCACTTCCATTGAACAGACATTTTACCATACCAAATTTTAAACCTTGCGTAAGTGAAATCGATATTGTCAGCGTATATGGATAGTGAGCATGAAATATTGATTTTGGGTTCAGATGAAAATTGTTAGTTCAAAGATCAAAAAGAATTTATTCTCACAACACATCAATCTCTCTATTCCATAACTGCATATGTATATGCATAATGCTATAAATTTAAAACATAACAGATTTTTTGTCAACTCATTTCATAGGATAGTTCGCAACTGTTATTTCTTTCCAGATAGTAATGAATCATTCAAAACAAGATCTCTTCGGTACCAAAGGCTCTGCTTTAATTGTACGCTACGTGACTACTTTATTGGGATCTAAGAAGTACCGTATTCACAGATTACCCATTCGTTACGTCAATGAAGAAATATGAATTTGATGTAGATTTATTAGTATTTCAAAACATCCATGCTTTCTTGACAGTTTTGATTCTTAAAAGGCTATCATAATCAGTAGTGCATTACATCATCTATTGTCAAATGATTCAGCAGACTTCATTCTTATTTCATAGTTGCTGAGATTTATTTATTTCCTTTCTAGCATTGTAATAATTTTTCAAATGCTTCAATAGTTTATTTGACGAAAACGTACTGTCATGTATAGTCACTTTTGTATACTTACTTTTCAACTTTTTAATAATTGAATTTTAATTTAATCTGAATCTTTCTACTTAAAACTTTTTATTCTTGAGAAATACTGAGGGATACGTCATTTCAACAATCCCTTTGTGAACAGTGTGTGACACCTGCTAGCCAATAATCTCTATCTAGTAATATATGATGAATAGAATCGTTGCCATATTTCAGAAAACTGGAAATAGTAAATTGACAAATCAATTATTACGAGAATAAAGAATACGAGAATAGCTAAAATGATCACTCACTGCAAGGAAGATCGGAGGTTCAATTCTCGTTCTCCTTTTTAGGTTCTTCGTGCTATAATAGACATTTGCGTCACTTTACCAGTTGTGAATGCGTTTCTTCTCTAAAATGTCTCTTATATTTCAACTAATTAAGTGCCTCTTACTCATATTTCTGTTAAGATTTGTGTGCCATAATGTTATTCTAATAAAAATTAACTTCAGCGTCTTTTCCTTCTGATCACATGCTTATTCAAATAAATTCACTGTTTTAATTAAAGGTATTAATTCATGAACAAAGAAAAATTAATGGATCTCAGAAATCAGTTCCCCAAAGTGCTTTTTTAAGAAATAAATTCAAAATGGAATTGTTGAAGAAATCACAAACACAAATGGATAACATCCGCTACGCATAAAACCGTAAATATCTACAGTCTGTGCAATTGGTGGAAGAATAAATTCTTTGAAACTTCATTACTCCCCATATTAGCCCATTTTTGTTTAAAAAACCAAATAATCGACAATTTGAACAGTAAAATGATTTATATTATGTTAAATTATAGTTTGAGCCATTGTCGGACTTTAAATAATTTGAATTTCCTACAGTTTCAAAACTTTCAGCTAAAAAAAATGGACTGTTTATTAACGTGGTTTGTTCAGGAAATTGAATGCTGAAGACAAATCCGCGACAATATCACGGATTTTTTTTCAATTAGCAGACAAATTTTTATTAGAATTGTTTTGTAAAAAGTGGCTTTTTTTTATTCCTTAAGTCATACTTCGATATAAGAAAGGTAAGATGGATTAGGGCGCAGATGAAAGTGACACTGAGAATATGGTGATAAATGGATATTTAAAAGATGTATCTGATTCGTTTGTCCATTAAAACATATTTGCAGAGCGTATAAATGTGTGCTTATGTACGTGATCAGAAAATACTATAGAGAAGTGGAATTGTCCGTGTTCTGCTGTCGTTGATGATGACAACATCTCTTAAAAAAAAGAAAAAACTTCTATCAGAGTAGTGATGATGATAGATGACAGTATTGATGATGCTGGTAATGTGTAATAGTCATATACTACGATTCCATACTGCAATTATGTTACTCTTTCGAAATGGTGTGGAACAGGATGGATGGATTCTATTCCTGCTGGCATTATTGATCCATCTGTTCCTCACATTGTTTTCCGGAACAAAATTTGAGAGATTTCTTTCGCGAAAGATTACATTTTATTTGCCATTCTCTGATTGCATTCGTTCCTAACTGAAATTGTTATTTGAAGTAAAAATGTTTGTAGCCAGCCTCTTTAGATATTTGACATCATTTGCCATGGCAACGAGTGCTATTCTGATAAGAAATTTAGTCAGGCACGTGGACCTCATTTCTTAACATTATTTGACAAGTCAGAGAGTGCAGTGAATTATTTGTTTTTATAAGGTGATGAATTATTTTCATGAAAAAAGTAATGTGAGTGAAAGAAAAGAGGAGAAAGATAGGCAAAGGTTTGCAAGCAAGTATAAATTATTTTCTACTGCTTTTCTGGACTTTTTTGTCAGGATCTAACTGTTTTTAAGATTTTAGTGTTTGGCTGGAAGTCTTGAAGTTATAAAAATAAATGAAATAATTTGCTTCATTCACTAGCTGTAAGATGATTATCATTAGACTTTCTATGATGCCTTAAGTTAATTGCTTGAGAGACGCTACTCCAATACTGTATTAATATTGCGTTTCGATATTAAATTGCATTTGCTACGCGGGCTTTTTTCTTTCTTTCTTTAAGAGCGTAATAAATGCAGGACAGAAATGCAATATTTTGGAACAAGTAGGACTTTTATAGTCAAGGAAAATTACTCAGTGCGCTGAACATGAGTTACAAAGATAGCATACTATTCTAGATTCTTCTCTTTCCATTTTTTTGGATTGGCTTCCGGAATATCTCTCTTATATTCTTGACAAGGTGGGATATCATGAAAAAAGTTAAAGAATTAAAAAGAGATGGAAATAAACTTTATTATTGTGAGAGCAGTAAGTTCATATCCTAATCCTAATTGTAAAGTTTGCTAGCCGAAGGCATTGCTTATTATTGTCATAGCTTCAACTCTTCTATCACATCAGTACTATTCTGATAAGAGACAGTAGGAAGGGACACAGCTTCACATTGCATATTTGAACACATTAATGCCCTATTAGCGTAATCATTTTCTAAAAATGAGATCAGAGAGGCTGCAACTGATATTACCTGTTTAGGGGATACGTCAATGTAGCTTATTTGATCACTGCTGACCATGGCAAAACTACCAGCATATCTACAGTACATATATCGTCGATTATTGTCGAGCTTCACTCCGGTATCGGCTATGTAATATAACATTCATCTATGGCGGACAAGTACTCAATTTGATCGGTGGCAACCCTATTAATTAATTTTTTGTAGGAGCTTTCAATAAAATCATATTTGTTAACCCGTGTATATATAATTCATGCATCCTTAATCTTTAATCTGCAATTGAAATTTTCGGGAAATCTTTACTCGCATGCAACTCTCAAGCATCTTCTTCACCGTATTTCAATTTTATTTTGTTTCTTTTATTTCGTTTACAGTTGACTAAAGAAGAAAGGAAAAGCAACGTAATTTGTAAAGAAGAAAACGAAGAAGGAGAGGACGAAAACCGCGAGAGCGGTAAATTCGTGCGTCATCTGATTATGAATGTAACAGTTGGAGGAGTTGAATTACGGAAGTTGCTTTTCGTGTTGACATTCTTGGTGTTGGCTGCATTTAGTAATTGGATTGCCTTAGCTTACATCCATGATTTCGTTGGAAGGTTTGTTGTGTCGTTGATGTATTTCAAGTTTAATGATTTTTGGTTGCACCGTTTCTTCAATCTTTAATAATGAAATATAAATTTACAAGTGAGTGGATATAATCATTTGCTAAAATATTTTTCTTGTTCATTTATCTCCAAATATATTTCGTCTTTCAAATCAATTAAATTACAAAATTGCAGGGAGGCCTTGCCTGATATCGTCTTTTCAGTAGTACCAGAATTGCTATGGACACTAAAAGTTGGTGATGCTATGGTTACACTTTGTTCGACTTCCTTTTTCACCTTACTTTTTCTTCATAAAAACCGTTTAATTATAATTCAACGAATTGCTTTTATTGTGGGTGAGTTCATTTGTTGCAAGTAGAATTTTAAATTTACCTTGATATTAATTTTAAAAGTGACAATATCTTCTTTGGCGCTCTCGATTGATAATTCATAGAGATTGGCGAGATATAAAGCAATATGAATGTAGAACTATGCTAACGAAAAAGTATTTGGTTATTAGTATCGTCATTCTATTCAGTGTTTGCTAATTGCATCATCCTTTTCACCGAACATCCATCTTCTGTATTAGCTGCTTAATCACTATATAATATAACTTGGCATTTAGACCATTTGATCCACATCTAGTGGCATTAAAATTCCTGGCATTCACTGTACTTGAATTTCCTGAGAATTAAATTTCACGGAAAATTTTCATAGACATCAAGTGGTAAGTGTTATCAGATTTGAACTGGTTATTGTAGAACTGATAATCAAACTTATCAGTACTGTCTAACTTTGCAGCTTGTCTATATACTATGCGAACAGTATCACTACTATGTACACAATTACCTCCTGGTTATATCGATAATAATAAGCGTTGCCGAAGTCAAAACAATCATACGAATCGAGATTGGGATATTATTGCATGGCGTGTCTTGTCCCAGGCCGGAAAACTCGGATTTCAGGTTTTTATATAAGTAACTTTTCTATAGCTATGTTTACGTAAATTTCTGTGCCAGAGTTTTTTGCATTCCGGTCTCCAAACTATTTCTGATTTTTTTTTTTAAATTTTAGCATTAAGTTCAAAAACAAATGATGACAGAACTTTTATTTACTCGCTGAATAATTTAAAAGCTGTTACCCATCATTGCATGGACAAAAATCGTATCTAATTGTAATCATTCTTTCCGCCTTCCAACTCCTCTTCCCTGTTCCGTTTGTTTCATTCCGCGAAAAATGAATGTGGAATCACTGAAGCACAAAAATTTTAAAGCTTTCTTGCTGATACCCATATTTCCAATACACGAATAATTTGTAAATAATGGTATAAAGATCATTTCAGCTAACAGAATTAGACTTTTGGTTTTTAGGATCTTTATCTTGGAATTTTTGTTTTCAGGATATGGATGACGAAATGTTATGTGGTGATTTATTATTCTCAGGTCACACACTAGCTATGGTTGTCAGTTCATTAACAGTTGCTTATTATTTGCCAGATTCATTTAGACCACTCAGGTGTTATCGAAGTCTTTATAATTTTTTTTTTCAAAAAAATCTAATTTAATATAATATTCGTATCAGGTTAGTTCTGCAGATATATACCATGTATGTTATCATGGGTCGGCATGATCTGCATGGTTATTAGCAGGACTCATTATACCATTGATGTTCTTTTTGCTTATTGGCTGTCAACTGCTGTATTTAGGTTAGTCCTCTGTTTGTTAATGCTGGATTGGTAGGATAATAAACAGTATAATAATGATTAAAAAGAAAAAAAAAAGAGATGAATTTGGCTACTGATTCCTCATCATTTCATTTTTCTGAGATGAAAGGATTTGTGTCAGTGTAAAAGTTTTGAGAAGTTTGAAATGGGTAATCATGTATACTTGTGACGATTATTCTATTTTATCGTGTATGAAGATGAGTAAGTAAGCAGACCACGATCGATTTAGTTGCGATAAATGTTAGATAAATCGAGACTTCAATCCCCTTTCAGTAGCTACTGAGGTTACGCCTCCTTCGCATCTTCCTGTCGTTCAGATTTGATCCGTACCAATATTAAAAGCCAATCTGATAAGCTGCTGCCTTTTTGCAGTGATCGCTTGAGAAAAGTTGACATTATGCGGATCATGTAGACTTAGCTTGATTCATTCGTGCTACTTAGCTTGATTCATTCGTGCGCTTATTTCAGTTTATCGTTTTTCCCTCTTGCATTCTTTCACTTGTTTGTATTTTCAGTATTTATCACGCATTCTGCGAAATCGATTTAATAAATCGCAAATTATCAGTTCTTTATGGATTGTGGATCGTGCAAATTGTCGATTGGCTAGAAATCGATATTACACCCGGAAGGTTGTTTCTTTTTTTGATAAAGAGAAAATGTGATTCAGTTTTGCCCTCAGAAAAATAAATGATAACCGAAAGAGTGTTGCGGTATGGGAAACAGACAGAATTACAAAGTAAAACGAGACTTAGTCCTCTATGATAATATAAGCATCGTCATTCTAATCAATCCTGATCAGAAATTTTGTTTCTCTGTCTTTCTTTCATCTTAATTTTTGGTTTCAGTTAATTGTTGCTCATAGACAAAATCAAACTTTTTTACATTCATATTAAGGTACCCTGTTTAGTTTGTAGTGCATACCACCGTAATCTCAATGGAAATAGCAAAAACATAAGTGCTGCTGATTGATCTGTAGACCCGTGAGCATTAGATAATTGTAGGGTTAAATGAATTTGAGTTTGGATTTTTCATTAATTTCTGACTTTTCAGATCTCTGAACATAGTTTAGAGTTCAAGGATTTCAAAAATCAAGAATTCTATTCAATAAATGTAACATAATTAATTGTTCTATTCATTTGAAGGCTAATCATGGAATATTTTTCAGTACTGTTCATTTATTTTTTCGAGTCATAGGGTCATTTTTGGGAAACATACGACATGCATGGCCAAGACAACGTATTATGCTCTCTTTTAAATTTTATTGGCACTAATAGAATTTATTCAGTTGACTCTATTAAACTCGATGTTTGCCCTTTTCCAGGCTAGAAAATCGTTTCGAGTTTCCGTTACTTGTACATCTTTATAAATGGTGGAGTAGTCCATCAAGGAACCGTTACTACACTCAGAAGAGTAATTGTCATCATCAGAGGCAGCACCACCAACAACAGCAGCAGCAGCAAATCCCCGCTTCAAGTGCATTCCCTATATGATCTCAGCCTTTTGTTGCTTTTTATCCGCTGATTATGGCAATGACTTGCAAATTAGATTTAATTCAAGCTGGAATTTAATTTGAAAGTGTTCGGCGAAAAAAAATAGAATTCTTACTTAAACGCAGAGGATTTGATACGGTTATGTTAACGTATTACGGGTAATTTGGGAAGTCCCCTCAATGCTTTGGTGTTCCAGAGTTGCATTAAAATCGTCGAGAACCCGAAACAATGACTTGCATTTGCTTTTATTGCATATTACTTCTAGAAGTAACACTAACTGATGATTATTTGTTCCAGCTGCCGTCTTTATATTTTACTTCTTCCTACTTGCCTTATTTTCCTGACTTTTCTTCGTAAACCGATATAATGCTCAGGCAGGATTTCAAGTTTTATAAAAAGACTTCAAATTATTAATGATTGAGAAAGATAAATGAAAACCCATATTCTTGATATTTTTCATCAATGTATTATCAAAAGTCATATTGAATTTTCTGAGTTATTACATCGGCAGTCATACGATTTTAATATGTTCTGTACTTGCTCAGTTCGATATATTGTGTGCGTGAATCATATCAAAATATGTATGTAAATGTTCGTATCACCAGTAAACACTACGACAATGATAAAAGTTTCTTGCAAAGTTAGGAGATGTCATAATGATAAAGGCTTAACACCTTGACAGTGCATTCCCTGAAAGTAATAAGGAAGTAATCAAGGAACCAGAACTAGTGTAAATCATTGCTGCTCATGTGAAGTGGATGGACGTGGATGTGAAGTGGTGAAGTGGGCCCAATTCTGTAACCAATATATTTGTAGGATAGTGATTTTCATAACGTCATTATGTAGCACATCCGTACCACTTTGGCACCAATCCAGCACGGGAAAGGATTTCCTCACGGAAAATCGTGTAGAGTTTTGAGCTGTGGTAAATGCAGTAGACATCAATTGTAGGACAGACTGTGGGATTTCGGGGTGTCATGCATAGGGTGTCTTCATCACGTATTGTTGTCCTAATCTGTATTTGCCATCTAATTAATCAAACTTGCCATGCATAAAAAATCGATACGGTATGGTCTTCAGGTAAACTCGTTCTGGTGAGATGAAGTGAACGGCATCTTACAAAAAACGTTACAAATATTTGGCAGTAAGGTGTGTGGGCCCTAATAAAGCAAAGTGATTAAGAGCTAACAAGATGTCCTCCTCATGTTTTAGCACTAATTTTGTAGAGTTTGTTTCCGCTGTTGTTTTATTTTAGTTTTTTATTTTGTTTTATCTTTTTTTTTTGCTGAATGAAAGTTTGAGTTAGTATACTGATTGTAGTAGAGACTTATGAGAGGATGTGGTGAATTTTACAACTTTTCATTTTTAATGTTGGTAAACGCATAAAATTATTCGAATATTTCCTTACCCAATAAAGTGACATGATTTTGCTGATGATCTTAGTATTAATAGCAGTATATCTGCTACAGCTTTCTATTATTGAGAAGAATTAATATATTTATACGCTCTTTCTGAGCCTTTCTTGGCACTGTTTTGTATTGAAGGATGTTTCTTATTTTTTATTACTGCTAATTAAAGAATAGGTACATAGTTTCATGGTATTGACTACATTGCTGTGGCTATGCTTTCGTGTGCTGTTTTTGTTTTTGTTTATTTTAGATTGCCATCTTCAGTGAATTTTTGCAACAAAGTTTGAAAATTATCTGGTTTCATCATTTCAGCTATAAATAAAACGCTGACTGTATTACAGCACATAAATCAGTTAATCTTCGTTATGTAGATCTCACTTTTTCAGTATTAAATATTCGCTAAAGTGTAAGTGTTGCTGAAAGCGTGGAAAGAAATTTTCATTTTTTTGGGATATATACCAAGGCACACTGGTGAGTTTAATACATTATCTCATGTAATATTGATTCGGTAAGCACTATTACTGTTAGTAATTCATGCAGTGAACTTAGAACAAATGTAGTAAGAGTTTCACTTTTACAGATCTAGATTGAGTTTTTCTTCGAAAATGTTATGACAGCTTTAAGAAAGGTATGAAAAATTACGTTGAAGAAGATTCGCTTTAGGAAAAGTACGTCGACGAAATTACCGGAAAAATTGTTCATAATTTGGAAGAAAGATCATTTTAGAAATGGATTTAAGTTGAGAAGTATTTAAGAAGTAAAACAAGGAAAAATACATAAAGCAAGAAAGCTTTATGTTTTACAGCGAACTTCAGGAGATCTTACACCACTTTGGTATATTGTTGTCGGATTCCGTGCAGGTCGATTCTCGTTATAATCGCACACATCTGTGCCAGATTCTTGATGCACCGTAGTTCTGTATTCTGTGATTCGGATTGCACATTTTTCTGCCTTATAACTTGCATTAAGGTCCTTATTTATTCATTTGTGCGATTTTGATTTTACTTGGGCGGCTGTCGCTGATTTTCACTTTACCGTTTTCCCCTTGTGCACCATTTTCATTGTCAACATTGTGAGGCAAGTTCTTTCACATATCGTACTGCCTAAAATGAAGAATAGAGCATTTTTCTAGAATAGTTTAGCTGATCAATTAAACACCATTTATCTCATCAGATCAATACAAAATTTTGGTATAAGTTATTGAGTTTCATCGGCTATTTTTATATTTTATTCTTTGAAGAAGTATTTCTGATATTGATGAAGGAACAGAGTCTTTAAATTTTCGCTTTCCTTATCATGGAAATAAGCTTTGCCAGTGTGACTTGCTTGCTCTAGGTCTGAACATCAGGATCATAAAGAAGGGTAATGTTAAATATGACAAAGGTTGAAAATAAAGTAGAGGTATAATATATTTTAAATATTGTGCTCTTTTTTTTCGGTGATTTTTCTCTCATTTTGTTCAGTGTTTTCATCATTTTATGGTTGTTGTACGACTACTAGTACATGAAGTTGTTTAATGGAATACGTTGACCTAAAGGCTACAAGTGCTTTCATCCATAAGTTGATTTCAGGAAGCGACGTTGTGAAATTTGACGAGTGGACCTTGAGAAACAAGAGGTGAAGCCTATATTAATTTCATCAGATGCTTGTTGTGATTTCTTCAGCAAAAACTGGGTAAGAAAAGATTAGCTCCAACAAGAATGACTTCAAAAGAAGAACGCAAAGTATTGGCTATACAGAAGAAAAAGAAACGAAAGAATAAAAAAAAGGTATTCCTTTTAGTTCCAGATATGTTTGTTTGCATTATTCTAGTTGAAATAATCTGAAAAATCCGTAGTAGTGGAATAAAAAGAGGCCAGAGAGGAGAACGAAAAGGAAAAGAAAAGTGATATAATGTACTTTTTTTTCCGAAATTTTTTTAAAATGTGGAAAATAGTTCATGGACCATTGTATTTGGAGAAACATCTCATTTTGCAAGCCATCTGTTGATTCTGTTGGTTAGTGATATTTAGGGTTAATTTGAACTTATAGTCACGAATTTTTTTGAAACTTGATTTTGATCTGTATCCTTTTCCAAAAAAAAAAAAAAAAAAAAACTAAGTTTTAATTTCTAAGAATGCTTGATTTTCTTGACTTGTTCGGAAGTTCGACCCTGCACGCTTTCGTCTTGCTATCATACTCTTTCTGTTTTTTAGCAAACTTATTTTACCTGCCCCATAATCACTATTTATTTTGAAAAAAATCGTCAGTTTTGTTAAAGTTACTCAAAATTTTGCCTTCTCCTTATCTTTTTTTCCTTTATCACGTAATACAATCTTATTCCTTTGATTTTCTTTAGTTTTTTTTTTAAATACTGTGATACTTCGAATTTTTACTAAATAGTAACCTCATATTTCCTCCATTTTTTCCCAACTGATATTTGCGAATATTGTGGAATTGTAATAATATATTAATTCTCAGTAGGACAATAAAAACTTGATTTTTTGGAATTCTTAGTTTAGTTGATGATACTATATTATTAAAAAATTATGTATTTCATAATCATAAGTATGTAAAAAATAAAATAATTCCGTCAAAAAAGACAGTTTTCCCTAAAAGTATCAGTACTAATTTTCCATGAACATGTTTATTCTTCAATGAAAATTAGAGAGAGAAATATTTTTATAATTGAAGACTTATATTTTTCGTATTCCTTCTCCACAGAAATTGCATATCTACAAATCGTGAGGCATAATTCGCCAAGGAATAAAACAGAGCTAATTGTCACGGCGACTTCATCTTAACAGTCTTTCTTTGCCATTACGAATTTCCCCTCCATTTTTTTTATTGTATTTCAACTTTTTTTTCCCAATTTTTCTTAACCCCAGTATTTTATAGAAGTTATCTTCATTTTAAAAATTTACGGCTGTTACATTTATACTCTCCTACCATCAATTAATGTTTTTTAGCTTCATAAATTTTATAGTGAAAGATTTAATTATCAGCAGCTCTCTTGTCCAATTCTGGATTGCAGCTGTTTGCAAATTGCTTCAACTCTCTAGCAACTTTGTGTTTTAAAACCAGTTGCTGTCCCGTTTTTTATTTCGAAATAAGAAGATTATTTTAGTCTTGTCGTATTCTGTATTTGTTGATTTATTATATTATTTATTATATTATGTGTTTCTTGATCAGATATTTCTTAGTATTTTCAATCTTAGAAACTGGTGCAGATGTTCTCAACTTACTGGAATTTTCAGAATGGAACAAAAAAACCCCCTCAAGTGGTTGCAAATGGCGCTGAACAAATTACTTCCTCAAAATCGTTAGTTTGAATTTTTTTTTTCTGAAATAAGTAATCCATGTTAAAAAAATTTTTCGCCCGAAAGTGCAGTGAAAATGAAGGCCTGGAAGAAATTTTGTATCTAGGAAAAATGAAGATTCTGGTACATTTCTTCGAGTAGGTTTTTCTGGATCATCTCCTTCTATTTAGTGTTCAAAAAATTAATTTTCAGTGCGCCCATTTTATTCCATGTTGAACTGTCGTATTTTTAAATTCATTTTAACTTCGGAAGGATTTATTCTAGTCAATTTTTCTCTTTTTTTTCGAAGTTCTAGTTTCTGTATCATAACTGCCTATGATGTTATAAACCAAATTTAGTAAGAATCCTTTTCTTCACAATACTTGTCGGACACATTTTTAATCTGGAGCTGGAATGCTGATATGCTTTGGGTGTTTGAACTTTGAATTAAGTAGGTTAATTTCATGACGTCAAATGGCTAACTTTTAGTGTTATGCATTACTTAGGCAGGATATAAAGGGCATGGAATGAATGTGCTATTTTTTTTTTATTTTTATTTATTTATTTTTGTTAATATTTAAGTAATCACATCTATTTCTCAACGGAAACTATTTTCCGTTATTCATCATACTCATATTTTCACCAGGCTAAATCGCTTTGCTTGTCCAAATTATCCTAGAAATTAAAAAAAAAGACGACTTTAAAGTGCCGGAAGAAATTAAATAAGTTTTTGAGGACTTGTTTAAAAAGTTGTGTAGTATTGATAGTTGACTGAATAGATCCTTTAGTTTTAACGTAGTAATAATAAATATATTATTAGTTCAGAATTTCAGTGCTTTAGATAAAAATAGGAGACATGTGTGAGCGGATTTCATTCTCTGTTTGGGGGCCAAATTTCTGCCAGAGGTTCTTTTCACAGTTTTGATGAGTCGTATTCTTCTGCCTCCTTCATTCTTGTTTGATGCAAACATTTTTTTTAGATTTTGGATTTAGAATTTATTTACTGATTAGCATGTGATAAAGTGTGATATTATCTTTCTTATTGAGACTCTGCATTGAGTGGAATTGAGCCATTCAGGCTTGGTTATTCTTCGATCGAGGAGTAAAAAACTTTTTACATTAATTGTTCTTTTCCTTTTAAAGCTTCTGCATCGTGTGTATAAGGTTTTTACATCGTCTTCTGCAAGTTTGCATCCGTTAAAGTAATAAGCTTGTTGAAGATATTTCAAAGCTAGCGTCGTTTACTGCGCTTAAACTCTTATATGTTAAAATGATGTCAGAACTGTGTGAGATTAGTTTTTTTCAAGCCTTTGAACTCTTCCTAATCTCTCCAGCATCTTTTCTCAAAAAATTTGTTTCCCTGGTAACTGATGGAATATTTTCTAGTAATATTTCTGCGAAAGTTTCGTCTGTCATGTGCTGAAAATAGAAATTAGAATTTACTTCTAGTAAATTTTCGTCATTTTTCTTTCTGTATCTCTTATTTCTTTATTTCTAAATTATATTGAACTTGTGTGTCGTCTCTCCAGAATTCTTCAAGGAGCTGTATAAAACTTTGAAACACGAAGAACCTGACATAGACATCTCTTGAATCTTCTAATTGCTGAGCTTGGCTTCCGAACTGTCACTTATTATCGTCACGATAACTTATGTGACCAATTATTATTATTATTACTGTTATACATGAACATCTGTAGAAACTTCGGAAGGAGTCAAATATTGTTTACTCTTATCATATAGAAAATGATAGGTTCAGAGCTTGTTGCTTGTTCTGAGCAACTGTTTTCTGCTCAAGAATTTGTGATCATTACTTTGCCAGACTGCAAAGAAAACCTTTTTCGCTATGACATTGCTTGTTTGCACTGTTGAAGTGAATTAGTAACGGATTTAGTTTGCTACATTTTATCTTATTTTCTTCACTTCTAATACTTTTTTTTCAACGACGGTAAACAGTACATCACGTTTTGCACTTCTATTATTCGTTAAACATAAGTAACGGAATTAGAATCCAATAAATTAATATAAGGCTCATAAGGCCCAAGTATCCAAGCCAAAGGATTGACAAAAACGAAGCAATTTTCGGGTTTTTTAGCTAAAAGATGACTGCAATACAAATCAGTCAATTTGAAGAGAACAGTGCGAAAGTAAGAATAAGAGAACAAGAGGTACTGGTATACCTTCTATCGATATTTGTTTTGGTGAATATATTAAGATTAAGACAGAAGGATATGATTGATTTGGCGATGTTGAAGGAAAGTGAAAAAGAAAAAAATGAATACTGGGAAAAGAACGGAAATTCCACCACGGATTACCACGGGTTATGAAGTACTCTCTTCTCCAAATTCTTCAGTAGTTCCTGAGGTTGCTAAACTTTCCGCATCCAGAAGTGACTAAACAAAATCAGATGATAATGATGGTGATAAATTTTTGTCAAATTGTGCTACATCTTACGAGTCAGTTTATGAATTAGAACAACGAATAATCGATGAGGAATCATCGCGAATTTCTTCAAAACAAGATTTGTGGGCAGTGGAAGAATCTAACATAAACAGTAATATTAGGAAATCAAATGAAAAACCTTTAAATTCTGTCAAAATGAAGGAATTTGTTTCTGAAAGCGCAGATTTTATAACCACATTAAACTCAGAAGAGGAAAGAGAATATCAAACGTCAACGCTCCACGAACATACAGATGCTTTGGATAAGGATGAATTGTTGTTAGCAATAACTTTAGAACATGGTGGTGAATTATTTGCTCCAAATGCAAAATTAGAACAACCATTTGATGCACTTAGAACTGATTCTCTATCAAGGTTTTCCAGAAATTCGAAATCTTCATTGCTTCCATGTTCTTTAGGCACTTCATTATTTCCACATCGCTATCCACTTTTGATATCAGACAATATCCAGCAGTCTCCGAATTTGTATTTGCATGCCAATTTACCACTCTGCATTGATTGTTTAGAGAATGTACATCAGATAGCATGGTCTGAAAAAAAAATGTATGCAGATGATACTCTTTCACTGCCATCACCATTAAACAATCAACTTTTATATAACCTTAAAATCAGATGGGATTCAGATGCAACTAATTCACAATTTGGCAATGAGCAATTTAATTATGGGTTAGCATTTCATCTGTGAACTACATTGTGGACGCCAATTGTATGTATCTCAATTTATCATCAAAATCATTATTTTATGCTGAATCTGTATTGTTTGATTTTGGATCTTATATCTTGATTTGTCGAAATGATATTGAAAACACAGCATTTATGTTAATTTCGGAACTTAAGAGAATTTATGAAATAAAATCTCCTAATCTAATTCCTGAGGGAAGCGATCCCTTTTTGAGTTGTTGCGATACATTATTCGAAAACGGAAATGGTAGAGGAACTCCGCTTGTAATCCCACCGAGGTAATTTTTTTTACCTTATTTGTTCGGGTTTTGTAGGTTGTAGTTACGCTAAATTATTTCTCGGGTGGTTTTGGATTTCTCGTCAAACTTTTTTTTACAAATAATTCAGATGGCTTAATGCGCAATTATGCTAATTATTTTTGCAACTGGAATATATCTGATATGAGCTACAGTGTTAATTTCCTATTTAAACTTTCGTTGATCTTACATATTAACATATTAATTTAAAGCAAAAAAGGAAAAAATACACATGTAAATAGAAATAGAATATTTTTTTGTTCGCTTAATTTGAAAATTAATGAAACAAATTTAATATGTTTGCTCATTACAGAGAAAAGTACTTTAAAATATCTCCTATAATCCTGTTATCGGCTTGTGTGATTATGGTATGGTATTAGTTCCACAGCACCATATTTAACGCTTTGCTTTTATAGGTTTCGGATTTCAGTATTCTAGTATTTCCTGCTTAGGAGTTAGCTTTTTTTTTATGTTAAATCATTTGATTTTTTAAAAAAATGTGTAACTATATTTGTATTTTTTTTAATTTACCTGTTCTTTGCCAAGTTTCATATATTGAACTTATCTCATTTTGAATATTTTTGTGGTTTAGACGTCAGTAGAAACTTTCAGTGATAATGTCTGCTGAATCCTTATAGTTTTTTATGCTTCAAAAATTCAATTTTCAGTCTTATTTTTTACAGTGGAAATGAAAATAAAACGATAGCATCTGCAAAAGCAAGTGTTAACAGCAATGATGACGAAACGAAATTGAAAAAATCGAAAACCTTCGATGGCAGTGTCTCAAGAGAAACTCATAAATTTCTTGTTGAGCCTAAGGTTACAGCAAGTGCCCTAATGAACTCATCAAAAACTTTGGGGAATGGTGTTCTTCAGCAGCAGAATCGTCCTGTTACTCCACTGGTACCCAGCAAAGCATTATTATGTTCAAATTTGGTTTTTTAAATATTTTTTTGACGATATTGTCTTTTTCGGACGTCATCTTAGTTTTTTGTAGTGTAACAGATGTTTTATGAAAAGAATTTACTCTTTTCAAGAATGGATTCATCCCTATTTTTGTCTTTCCGTTGTTGCAGTTCCGGGAAGTTCTTTTTATATATATGGGTGTTTTAGTGTATTTTTTGCAATTTCAGAACTTTCATGGCGCAAATCACAGATTTCCTTGTACCCTGTCGCCGGGTACGAAAACGATGCTTCCAGATAATTCTTGTAATGGCCCATCAGCTGGTTCACCAAGTGCAGGGAGTGAAAGCGCTTATGGTGATGATGAAATGGAACGAGAGCAGGTATGTATGGCTGGACAAGAAAAATAATTTCCATAAGTTGCTTTATCTCGCAGTTTGCCGATTTTGACTTTATTTACGTCTTAAATCTATTTCACCGGTCTTACTAAGTTTTTGAGATTTTAATCTTGGTTTGATTGCTGAAAAATGAAAATAATGAAGTATCAGTATGAATCAACAACCGTTATAGATGTGGGCTCTGATTAAATTTAGACCTCCAAATGTTTTTTGAAGTTCCATGTTTTCATTGAATTCTTGTTTGATTGTTTTCATAAGGAATCTTACTTTTGTGGTTGGTGTTACGTATTTGCACTGTATTAGACCAATGAAACTTCAAAAATGATACTAGAAGAAGTATTGTGGCAAATTTAGGAGGAAGTGCTTGGAAGTGATGATGAAGAACAGGAGGATCCCAAAGATTATCGGAAAGGAGGCTACCATCCTGTTGCAATTGGTGATGTATTCAACGGACGGTAATTATTACTAGTTTCGGATGATTGTAAATACCACTTGACACTTTATAATGTATAATTCTGTTGAATTAATCCATTACTTTTGGGCTTTGTTTTGTAGTTATCATGTGATTCGAAAGATGGGATGGGGGCATTTCTCGACAGTTTGGCTCTGTTGGGATACAGCACAGATGCGTTTTGTTGCGATGAAAATTGTGAAGTCGGCTGAGCATTACACAGAAGCGGCGTTGGATGAAATCAAAGTAATAACCTTTATGAGATTATTGTGAAGTTTGGCAAACTTGAATATTTTATATTCTCATTTGGACATTTCTGAACTTTTGAAGGCCTCATAATTTCGACACTTGGTATATTTTTCTCATATGAAAGAAGTGAAAAAGAGATGTAAGATCTAAGTTTCTTATATTTCGACACTCAATCGATCTCGAATTTATTATGAAGTGGTTTATTGATTTCCTCAAAATTTCCGGTTTTATTGCTTGTTTTATATGTTTTGTTTATTTTATATGCTTTATTGCTTATTTATGTGATTTCTTTTTTTAAATTTTAGTCAAAATTGTAGTTGCTAATGGCAGTACGTGATGCAGACGAGAGCGATCTATTCCGTGAACGGGTCGTGCAACTTCTAGATGAATTTTCAGTAACTGGCGTTAATGGAACGCATGTCTGCATGGTTTTCGAGGTTATTTTTTTCTTTGTTAGTATGTAAGAATGTTAGTATTGCTTTATTTAATTTTGTATAACTTTATAGTATTGCTTTGTTTGCATGAGAATTGGATGCATGACATGAATTAATATCATATTTTAGGAAAACTTCTTTCAATTCGTGTGTAAAAATAACATGATCTGTGATGAAAATGTTTTCACCATACTGTTCTGATTAAACTCGCTCATAATGCGTAATATATAATGGATAACATCAATTGATCTACGTCACGCGATGTTTTTTTTTTTTTTTTTGTGAAAAAGTTTTTTTAGGTCCTTGGATGTAACTTACTAAAGCTGATCATCAGAAGTAATTATCAGGGCCTCCCGTTAGAGCAAGTGCGTGTTATCATTAAGCAAGTATTGGAAGGATTACAATATCTTCACGAGAAGTGTCAGATTATACATACTGATATAAAACCAGAAAATGTCCTTGTTACAATGACACATGAACAAGTGAGACGGGTATGTAATATTTTATCACTTTGTTTTTCATTTATGTGTAAAGATATATAGATGCGATATAAATTTTGTCTTTCTCATTTTCAAAGCAAAAAAAAGGAACTTATTTCTTAAAAAATCAATTCTATGAAAAAAGAAAAGTATTTGTTCCCAGAATTCTGATCTTTGATGTAATTTCCTTTTCTGCTGAGCATTTGGAAATCGTTTTTAGAAATAATTATGCTGTTAATGTAATTTCCATTTGAAATTTTCCATATTTTTTTTTCGCTATAAGTACTTTTTTCAACATTGAAGATCGCAGCAGAAGCGATTTTATCGGGCAAAATGGGCTTAAAATTGTCGGGAAGTGCTGTAAGTACAGCTCCGCAACATATGGTTAAAAAAGTATGTTTTTCTTAAGCAAAATAATTTCTTTAGAAAATAAAGCGATTATCATTTTTGTTTACCGAAAGGCTAGAGCTTAAGTTTATAATATATCTAGATATGTGTATTCTGGTTTTTATCTTCCATTGGACAACCTTATCTCTGCAGGTGCAGTTTTTTCGGCTTTTGGCGTTTTCTTTTGTCTGTACTGTAAGAACAATAAAAAGTAAAGTCTTAGCTTCTGCAGGTTGAAGAGGCAATGTCAAAAAACAAGAAGAAAAAGTTAAAGAAGAAACGAAAGAAACAACGGGAATTACTAGAGCAACAGTTAGTGCAGATGGAAGGATTAACTGTCGATCCAAACGTTGTGCTTTCTTCGCTAAATCCCGAGGAACGAAACAAAGTTTGATTTTCGGTTCTCTAAATATCTTTGATATAGTAGGAAACCGAAAATGAATTTCTGCATTTGATTTTGGGGTTATTTGAAAAAAATTTGAAATTATATTTCATTCTTACATAAATTTGATTTTAATATACTTCAACCCTTATAACATTTTCATTTAACTTGAGAGTAAACTCGCAGTGCACAAAGGAAATTGTTTTTTAAACTTTCTGCAAACCTGCTTTTACGAGATTTACACATAGGTTATAGAGTTCAGTTGATTTCAGTTCTCTTTATTTCGAAACTAGGATATAAGAAAAAATTTGATGAACTCATGGTGCGTGCATGAATTGCAATTACTTAGTAACAGTATAATAATGGTTTAAGAATTTCTATTCACCATTCATTTGAGATCTTTAGGTCTTTTTTAGGTTTATTGAAGTAGATTTTTTGGTTTGGTGTAACAAGTCGCAGTAATGAATTCTAAGTTGTTCTTGCATACTATGGGCAGTTTTACCTACTAGTTTTACAAGATTTATAGGTTACAGAGTTCAGTTGATTTCAGTTCTCTTTGTTTCGAAACTAAGATATAAGCGAAAAGTTGATGAATTCATGGAACAAACATGAATTGCAGTTACTTAGAAAACAGCACAGCAACGGTTATGATGCTAATATTAGCAGCCGGTATGCAATACCCGAATTGTTGCGTTCTGCAGCCATGACCACTGCGAAAATGTCCAGTGGAAATAATGCTAGTATGAGTGCAGAAACTCATGATAGTGGTGTTACCAATGGTATTATTCGTTCATATGCAAGTCATTCAGTGGGTGCTAAGCCAACAGCAGCAGTTCTGTGCAATACGACGTACTTGAGTGTTGATGAGCAGTATAGATATAATCAGGTACTTGGACGCTGTATCCGTAGTTGTGAAAGGCCTGCACCCACGGCCAATGCAGCATCATATTGACGAAAATAATATTAACTGAACTTAGTAATAGTACTGCCTTTTATGGACTGTAACAAAAGGAAACTATTAGGTTGTGCGTTCTGTTAGATTGAGCGATATGATCATCAGTTTTAAGAATGGTTATAACTTAGTTTTAAAATGTATGGTTAATAAAATTAATTCAGTGTGTGTGGTTATGGAGAACAGTTGATAGTAGTTATAAAGTTACATGGATTGTATGGATAACACATCACATGCGATAATTTAGGTTATATAATATGTATAGGGTGGATGAAATAGTTGCATAGTTTAACGTTGGCTGTGGGTATAGGGCTGTAATCGTATTTAAAGTTGTAGATGTCGGTTACTTAGTCCTTATTATTAGGCAGCTCTAGAATTTAACTCATATTTTGTTGCTAAATAGCATGTTACTAAATAAAACATCATAGTGTCATTTTAGAACAGGATGATTTATTTCTTTTCATCTTATTCCCAGTTCTTACCTGATTTATGATATTATGTCATCATCTAAGACTCATCTTTACAAACAAACATATGCATGTGCTTGCTGATAATATATTGTTCATACATTGCTCCTTCCGACATCACAATTATATTCAATTCAGCTAATTATGGATGCGTAATTAATGAATCTTCATTTAACTTGAAACGTATTTCAAAGATGAAAAACTATTGGTAACATTTAGCATCACTTCACTCCATTTGTTCGCTCAGTAACTTGTTTAGTTAATTTATTTTATTAGTTAATACAACTTTTGCGTAGTGATTTTTCTGAATCTTATTACTAGTGTCATGCATCAGCATCATTTTTTTACAAGAAGCGATTTCTTAGCTTTCTTTATGGTGTATAATGTTTTCAAGTAATATACAAATGCTTTGAACGATAGGTGTACTTTTTTAGCAGAAAATATTGATTTTTGAAAAATTTGTTTTTATAATGTAAAAGCATTTTAAATACCTTTTAAATTTGTATTTCTTTTAAGCATAAATCAGAAATAGTGGCAACGAAAGCTGAAGACGTACAAATAAATGATTCCATTGGAGAGGATACTTCTATTTGTCCGACTACACGGCAGAATCAACGTACTTCAGTTGAAGTAGGTGGCTTCAACTGATACTCGTACCGAAGAAAATATAACGTTATTTATTGAAATCGCGTACTTACCCTTAGAATTTCTAATTTCATGGTTCATTTCAAGAATTGTGTTTAAAGATGTAGATGCATTTTAGATATCACTCGAAAATGTTGCACTCAAAGCTGTTGAAGTAAAAGATGCAACAGAATATCCGCTGTTAACCCCTGCCAGTGACAATGATTTGGGTAAGTTTTGATGTTTTTTTTTTTTTTTTTTTTTTCAATTTTGTAATAAATGCGGTGAATCACTCCTTTTTTTTTGTAGCAGTTCCGTATTATTAACAATCAGATTTGATTTTTTTATCCTCTAACATGTGAAAAATGTTTTGTTACGTAATAAACCTTAATACTTCCGCACAGGAACGAACTCATTTCGGAATTTTTCTTTTTTAGGACTGATAACCATAGTATCGAAAGCTTTACAATACTACATGAGTTGTCAGTGATTCGTTTTTCTCTTGTTCAAGATTGCGTGTCATCTTCTGCTTCACAATTCAACATTACAGCTGTGGAAAGACCAGCCCGATTTTTACCTCCTATGGAGTCAGATGCTCGTTCAGAGAGTGAAGTGAAAGAGTCAGCTCTGCAACTTCTATTAGAAAAAGATGGTTTGTCGCCGAAACGTTTGGAGCCAGATTACTTAAATCCGGCTATTGAAATCAGTGTTAAGCTTGCTGATTTGGGAAATGCTTGCTGGACGGTTTGTTTTCATTTGTGATAATCAAATAATTCCGAGTGAAAATCAGTTATCTAGCTTTACCAGAGAGAGAGTAATATACAGAGTAATATACAGTGTATCGTTATCTCTTAAGTGGAACATCACATCCATTAATTACATATATATATATGTTTTTTTTTTTTTTGTATCATTTTTTAGTGTGTTATCCTTTTTTTTAGCATCATCATTTTACGGAAGATATCCAAACTCGACAATATCGAAGTTTAGAAGTACTCATAGGTGCTGGTTATGGTCCACCAGCTGATATTTGGAGTACTGCTTGCATGGTTCTTATTTATTGACTTGATTTACAGATTTTCAGAAATGTAGTTTCTAACTTAGTGTAAGAGGCACACATAAGGTTGAAAAGTATAAAAAAGTGGATTTGTATTGGGATGTTAACAAAACTGTCTTATTATAATTGGATTCATTATCTGATTAGCAAAGTATATATATATATATATTAGTGATTCTTTATTTCTATGAACTCATCTCTTTCTCTATTAGCTACTCCGTTGAGTATGTTTGAGTAATATTATTTGCGTAGCTATTTATAATTTTCAGGCATTTGAATTGGCGACGGGCGATTATTTGTTTGAACCTCATAGCGGTGATACATATAGTAGGGATGAAGATCATTTAGCACATATAATCGAGCTTCTAGGAACTATTTCTCCCAGAGTTTACAAAAAAGGAGCTCACTGGCGTGATTTCTTTGATAAGGTGACACTTTCTCGTTAAATTTTGAGAGAGCTTTGGCTATCAAATGGCGTGTGGAAATATTTACTGAAGTTTTATGCTATATCTAAATGTATGTGATTGAATAATGCGATAATATAGTTTCTATTAGTGTAAAGCTACTTTGATTTACTAAGAATTTACCCAGTTGGACCGAACATAGAATAATAATTTATTCCTAGGTTGTTTGATTTTGACCTTAGGTACAAATCTACACAGATTGACCTTTGTTTTAAGAATATTGCTACTAATTTTTCAAATGATGCTTTGTAAAAAACTATAATTTTGCAGCATGGGCGTTTGCTTCATATTCACCAACTAAAGCCGTGGTCTTTGGTGGAAGTGTTAACACAGAAATACGACTGGCCGATTGAATCAGCCGGACAGTTTGCTTCATTTCTCATTCCGATGTTAGCATTTGATCAAGATGAGCGAGCGACGGCTCGACAATGCTTACGGCACGACTGGTTAAAACCGAATGGTGGTAAACCATTACATGCAGTGGAGAAGCAACAGGTGCAAGTGTCATTGCAGAACGAACTACCTCCGATTCTTGATCCATCTTCTCTGGTTAATATTTTTTGTTGTTTAATTTGAATTGTGAAATCAGCTGTCAAATGTCCATGGTATAGAAATGTGGTGGTTTTAGTCTAATGGATGGTGGTATTGTATTGAAATTTTTAAGCTGTGCTTCTCGAAATAATCGTTCAATGCTCGTTAATTTTACTTATTACTGGCTTCACTAATTTTTATGAAATTTTCAGGATAAGCCGCAGAGATTGGCTGATGACAGTGATCATGCGGAAGGTGAAGAATACTTCTTGACGGATGAAATGCATAGAGCTTCTCTTATCAACGAATCTCAGCAGTCAGTCAGCACCAACGGAGGCGAAGTTTAACTAATTGTGATGACACCAGTTCTAATTGAGCAACTGTCACATTCAGTAGAAAAAAAAAATTGAGCTTTGAGGGGATCTTTTTATGCTATGTTAGTTCCGCCTTTTAATGGTCATACTTTTATTCTCATATTTCCATGGAATGGTACTTTTAGTGTTTAAAATTGCTTTTCCTTCAAACGATCCATGAATAATTTCATACTTCTCATGAATTTATTCTTGGAAAAAAAATGAGTTTTGGAAATTCAGTGAAATACTTCCTGATGACTTTCATTCGAAGCAATATCTGTTTTCAAGCATTTGAACTCAGTTTTATTTTTTGCCGCTTTTCGCAGTACTTGTAAATTTTAGATTCTTAATTTTAGCAGAGTGATTTTAGGACTGGTTTTCAAATTCATAATTCCAGTTCGGATAATTGTATTTAAAACTGTACACTTTTCTGAAGGAGATTTTCATCCTATAATTGAAGATTTATTTTGATCCCCCAGTTCGAGATATGGAGTAATTATGTTTCGCCTTAAGATCAAAGTTTAGGAGGACAAAATAATTTTTTGGAGTTAAAAAGTATGCATTTTTTCATAAACAGAGGAAATGTTTCATTTTACTCGTTTTGTAAGCGCTTATATATTTTGCTATGTGGAAACTGTTCTTTCAATGATAGATTGAAACAATTGCATACGCTTCCAGGAAAGTATCTGCTGTAATAAATGCATAATAAAACAATGTGGAAAAATTCTAACCGGATCATTATCCCATTGACCTGCTAATTCTTTTACAGTGAAGAACGTGAAGGAGACAGGTTTTCAAAAAAGAAGTAATTCATTTTTTGATTCTTTACTCTCTCTACCAAAATCTCGCATTGACTTCATTTTGTGTTTTCTTCTGAATGCAAGAAAAAATCCGATTCTGAAAGCGGAAGTCGTTGCAATTTTTTTGTACAAAACCATGAAAATTTCGATGTCGATTTATCGTTATGTCATCGCTCCCGCTTTCCTTCACTCTCTCATCACTGGAGGAAGGTGCTTCAGCAGGTTCATACATTTGGCACGTTTGAATCTAACGCGATTGGTTATCAAGAAGTGACTCTGCCTTGTTCATCCATTTATTACTTACTGAATTTATGATCATTCGATCCATTTTCCTTCTCGTAGATGAGATACATAGAGCTATATGCATGTAATGTGTTATAACTATTGTGCTTAGATATCATTATATATATATATATATATATATATATAAACTAAAAAGTAATTATTTTTTTCGTTGTCATCAAAATTGTCATATTTTTGCGAAAATAAATGAGTGCATATAGAGGTTTAGTGGATCAGTTGAGTTTCTTGTTATTTTATGATAAATTTCTATGTGGTCGGGATAGTATCGCCTCGATATTGCTGCGAAGCTGATGCCGATGTTTTGAAGATCGAAGAAATGCTGCTGCATGTTATTACTAAGCCCAAGAGAATAATGAGCAATGGTAAAGATGCCCATGTTGACAAATGCAAAGCCTAAACAGTTTATTGCATATGTAAATATCACTGGACTCAGAAGATTTCAGGGTTTACAAGATTACCGATGGCTTCTTGTTAATGGAATAAGATGCTCTATTGGGAAATCCTCAGTGTAATTGCTTTATTTCAGTACTAGCTTGCTAAAATTTGACTAGTTCACTGTTTTGGATTGACTATTGTCCTTGATTGTTATCCTTAACTTGGCAGATTGAGAAAATATCCATATCTGCTGGGTAAATCATTCATCATATTTCAAATTGTCGAACCAGTTTCTTGTTGAATGATAAAACGGGTCAAGGTGTGAAGGGTGGAGCAAGAGTCGAGAGGTAGAGGGAATCTGAGGAAGTGAGTATTTCCTGTATGTCAGTACGGCAGAAGTCAGACTATAATTAATGAATGGATCTGTGAGTTAGCAGTGCGAAGTTTGGCTCCTGATTGTCGTAGTTCTATATGAAAGTGAGGAGTGAAAATAATTTTTGTTCTCCCAAAAGGGGTGTTAGGATAATTCTAGAACATGGTGATAATTTTAGTGCAGTTTAAAGTAGAAATAGATGAACAAAGTTATGCAGGTGTTTAGAAAGCCGGCTGTTTGAGAAAAGGAGATGCGTTATACATTGTTATGCGAGTCATACTGCTTAGAAAGTAAGATATTAAGAAGTTATTCTATATTGAATTCCAATTGATCCAGCAAGAGTATCGCGAATTGCAAACAGCTTTAGCAATTCTAAAATTTATAAAAAATAAGTCGAATAAGATGAATATGTGACTCATCTCTTGCCTCAAATTCAAAGTAGTATGGTTGCGAAGTAATGGACTGTTTTCGAGCAACGAAACTTAATGAAACTTTCGCTTCTCTTCACAAAAGGAAGAACCAACTAGATAGTAATATTAAACTAATATACTGACAACACATGGGTTAGACTGAGGTGCTTCTTAAGGGTTGAGATTGTTTGGTTATTGTTCTGTTATGTTTACATGATATTTTTAGCTACCAAGTTTTGTTTAGATTTGTTGTTAATTTTTTTTCTGTTTCCTTCTTTCTTTACCAAGTAACATAAGACTATGTTACGATATCTCCTACATCACCAGAAATATTATTCCTTGTTCATTCAACGATTCCATCATTTAAACTAGCGATCATCTCTTTACAATCAAATGTTTCGACATTTACTGACTCGACAATGATTTATGATGCAGAAGATAGAAGTCTTTGATAGATGTAAGTGTTGTGAGCCTGTGCTGTGCTATTGGCTCATGGTTCTTCCTTTTAGGAGACAGGGCAGAAGTTACATTAACTACACTGCTGCAAAAATGCCGATTAGTACTTGACTACACTATTCTCCAGTTTACTTGAGGCATTCACATATTAATCTCGTTCGACTCTTCCCAAATTCTTGTACAACTCAAGCAGATATCTTTTCTCCAATCTATCTCTGACCGCGAGCGTCCGATATTCTTATTCTTCGAACTCCCAACATTCTCACTCCTAAAGTCGCGATCATTCCGTTTAATTAGTTGAATTCACTTTAGAATAATTCTTAATGGCATATAGATCGGCAAATGTTTTACGTAGTACCTTCTCGGACATCTAATGTAATCACAAATCTTCTTTAAATAGATTACTTTCTGAAATCATTCAAAGTAATGGTTGAGATGGGTAAGCCATTTGAATTGTCTTTTGTAGCTTTCTGCTTTAATTTATGTTTCGCTTATAGATTTTGTGTCAGTTTTTCCCTTCCTTCCTGAAACAATGGAATCCGCATTCTTCTAATTCCGTTCACGAAGAATTCCCGCTAAATATGATTAGACATCCATTGCTTTAATATGAGTCTCGAACGTATGATTTCTCCGTACTGCATGCACTGCTCTTTAGTTGCATTTCTTCTGTGCCGATTTCTGCTTATTCTAGTGATTATTGATATGTTGAATTCTCGACTTATCGTACCAGATATTTCTTTCTACTGGTGAAGATCAAGTTTAACACATAAGGAATTAAATTATGGGGTAGAATAGAAAACATTAGAAAGTTTAATTCTGATGATACTCTTAGATTAATTAGACTTTTTGTCTTTAGATATAGTTTTTTGGATATATTTGGATATTGTCTTTGGGTATAGATATCTGTCGTTAAAACGTAATACTATTGTCATCACGTTCAGTAACTGATTCGACTGCTTCAGTGGCGTGTGGTGACTTCTGCTCCAATGGCTACTTTTTATATAAGTTTTACCTTTCCAGTTGACGAGATCGTGTGTGAAAATTTGATTTCGGCTGTGTCGACAATGGATGCTGGGATGTAGATTGCATGCAATCGTTTTAGTCCATTGTCGTGAAAGATTGTCAATAATGACAATGCGAGAGTTCTGCTATACGATTGCTTTCTATCTTTAATTATTATTTGTTCCATGAAGGTATGAGCAATTCAGTATTGTGAGTTAACTAAATAAGAGAAATGGGACAGTCCATCTTAGATTTCGCTAAAATAGATAAAAAAGTAAGAGTTTCATGTGGATAGTCAAGTCGGGAAGCTAACTCACCGAAATGCTGTAATTTACATATTTCTGTATCCGACATAACTTAATGATTGAATGCTGTATATAGGCAGAGGAAAGTAGTAGTTCAATTTAAGGTCATAACTTAGCATTTCATAGATTCTCTGGGTACGTAGTGCCATTATTTTTTGGTAAAATATAGAATCGTGCGCTGATTCTTCCAATATAATGCGCACGTTAAGAATGAGTTCCAATGATGTGAAAAGCTATGATCAACACTTTTATCATGTGATTGACTTAGTCATACATTTGAATCTGACATGTGCATCACCAGCACGTTCGACATGCATCATATTTATTGCACATTTCAGGAAAGCGATTGAAGTGGTCGGATGGATTGTTCGGTGGGTTGCCTATGGGTTACTTGTCATTCTTTTATTTCTTAATATTTGGATTTTAATTTTCATTCCATTGTCTATCTTTACCCTTCTCTTAATTCTATTTCATCACTTAATTGTCTATATTACAAAAAATGTTATATGTTGTTTATTTTTAGGAGCTTTGGTGTCTTGCATCGGTAGATGGCGGAGAATGTAAGGAAGCATTCGATACTTACGATGACTTCGAGGAACATTTTTGTCGAAAGCACCTAGACTTGGCATTGTTTGCCTGTGGTGCTAAGGGGTGCACAGCTCAATTTGGAACCGTATTACAAATTTTTCGCCATTTAGCGATTTGCAAGCGTCGGGGCAAAAAGGTTAATTGGGAAGAGGAGTAAATTTATCTTTATCGTTTCCTTTTCTTATACAAAATGACGATGGAAATGAGGTCTTTTTTTCGATTAAAGGATTTTTCTTAGAGATCTTCCTACTTTTTTGTATACTACTCAGCAGTCTTTTCCAACGTTTATGTTCAAATTTCATTTCTCTTTTCTCTTCTATCTAATCTCCCAAACTTACAGTCTAAGTTTTCGTCTTGATTAAAAAGTTAGTGCAAACAATAAATTTTCAGATAAAGCTGTTACAATATTCAGATGATGTTTTAGAAAGTTTGACAGCACTAGACCGAGCAAAGTTGCTAGCAATGCACTGCTCTGTTAAAAGAGGTAACATAGTTTAGAAAACAAATTGCAAATTTATTTTGCCTTTTTTTCAATCAGGAAAAAATTGGAGAGGTTTCAAGAAATAATTTTTCTCTATACTTCATTGTTCCTATCATTTCAGCAAAACAAGCAAATCAATTAGCTGAAATTAATGGCAATATCACAGCTGAGCAAGCTGTTGAATCAAATGTTCAGTGCTCATTCGGTGTTTTTTTGTTTCTTTATTTTTTCTTTTACTTTTTCCACAAATGTTTTTGGAATATCTCTAAAGTTGTGGAAGACTGTTCCATTCATTATTATATCTTAAAAATTTCTACTTCAGTGTTTTTATTAACTTAAAGTTATACTGAGCCATATTAGTAGACTTTTACGAATCGTAACATCGTTCCTAGCGCATCTTGATATATTGGGAAGATCATATTTACTTCCTGATAAAAAAATAGTTTTTGTAGGTGGTTTTCTAAAGTTCGTAAGTTTTTATTTTCACTTTATGTCTAATAAAAATTTCTCAAATGCTTTTACCACTCAGAAAAATGAGATCTAAGGATGCCATAATTCAGGATGTGGAGCTGCAGTGATTCAGAACAGTTCATGAATTAAAAAATCACAAAAGATTTTTGCATCATGTTGTGATTGCTTTCTTTACCTCATTGTTCACTTACAGATGGAATGAACAGTTCATTGGATGATGACCAAATTCACATATCAATAATAGAATCACCCAAAATTTATGTGGAAGGTAATGTGGTGTAAAAACTTTGTTTTATGTTTAAGTTTTATAATTTATAGCTTCATAATTTACCAATTACATATACTATAAATTTTAAATGGTTTGGAAGATTGACATAATTCTCTACTGTAATTTTTTGCTTAATTTACTACTCCATTAAAATTGTTACTTTTTTATTTTATCTGTATTTAATATTTCATTAAATGATTATATGTGAGGATCACTTGTTATAAGCTCATTGAAATTTGCTACAGATGTTGAACTTGGACCAAAGGAACGTGCTGTTACACCAGCAAGACAAGCAGCATGGCGACTGAAAGAACAAATGCTCTTAGAAGAGCAGCAAAAAAAGAATGTAATAAAAACTTTTTTTCTAACATAACTATTGCCTAATCATCATGTAATGAGGGAAAGCTTTTTTTCCGAATGTTGACTAAGAAATTGCAAAAGTATTATTCAAGCCTTCTTAATGATAACCTACTATCAAGAATGCAGTGAGAAGTGACTAATCAAGCCAAGATTGAAGCACCACTGAAGAGGTAAAAGTTTTCGAACTATATTTGCCAATACGAATTTCAGAAACCACCCGAAAAAGTTGATGGAGACACGCAAAAGAAACAAAAGAAATTACCAGTGAAAATAACTGACAAAACTCGTATTTCAGCTCTTATTAACGATAATCCAAAAAAAGCGGTAAAAATAAAGAAAGTGAAACTTATGTATTACAGTTTTTCTTGCAAACCGTGTAAATATTATCACCGTAGCTCATTGTTTTAAACTTTAAAAAAACCTCTGGTGAAATATATTTTTTGCATTTATACCTTTCGCTTTATTAAGTGTTACTTTTCTCGATTTTAATTGATTTTAGAAACGTACATCAAGCCATCTGCAAACGATGGAATCTGGTGTGTCTCGAAATCCTGTCTTAGGTAATACTTCATACAAAAAAAAATTTATTTTTGAATTTATTATTTTTCGAAACAAAAAAATAAACTATGGTGGAAGGTTTCATTTTTATGACAGATAAGTGTGCGGTATATAGTAATCATTAGTGTTATCAGAAATGTTAGATTACCGCTTTCTAACCATTTCTAGTCCATTTTTATATCAAAATTCTTAGGAATTTATCATTTATAGGAACAATGAATTCGAATATGTGTTTCGAATCGACAAAGCATATTGTGTATACTGAAAGGAGGCCAAAATTATTACTGGATAAGAACCAAGATTCGGTAATTTTTATTTGATGATTGTCAGAATCAGTAGGACTGCTTCACTATGCAATGTGATGCATTGTAGCAAAAAGCACGAATGAACCCAATAGAAAACTTACAGTTAGAGCTAATTGTCATGTCATTTCACATGTTGTTCATCGAACAGTTATTATTATATGGTATATGTCCATTTTCCCTCTTGTTTTCAAGAACTTGCAGTGTCAGATCGTTATCACTGACGTAGTATTTGGAACTTAGCATTACAAATGATTTACATTTCTGTTGAACAGAGGCAAAGAATTCACTATCCTCATTCTCCAAAGTAAATAACTTTAGATATCGACAATTCAGAAACAACCAAGAATATTTGAAAGTAGCCTTCCAGCTGGTCCTAATAATCCTTCAAAAATTCCTGGTATGTAATTGACTTGTCTTCTACTTTCACAGAAACGTTGTTAATAAACTCTATAGTCGGAGGTAAAGAAAAAGCACTTTTACCAGAAATTGAATTCTTTATTCTTTTTTTTCTTTATGCATGTACAACGTACTGAACAGATTTAGCTTTATATTATGTCCACATCTCTTATATTCTTTCGAATGTTTTACAGGTTTATCACGTCTACAGCCATCATTTGATGTTAACAGTAGTCGACCTCCAGACTATTCAGACTTCTTAAGAAATCCCGTGATAAATCCAACGCTTCATGAAATATCTCTTCCTTTGCCTCCTATTCTAGCTCTAGAGAGTTCATCTGTTCAACCATCGGATGGTCGTCAAAGTAATGTTGGAAATAATCATACATTCACGAAGACCGCTTTAGTAACACAACCTAATTCTGAGATCAACGTACAGCAGAAACTTGGTTACAGGAAATCACCTGGGATTCTGCGAACGGCAAGAATAAAGTATATTTGGGGATGTGAATAACAACTGCGCTGAAAAATAGAAAAGTTAAAGAGCAAGGAAACATTTTTGTATAACAGTATTTCTTTGCTCTTTTTACTTTTATGTTCTACCACTAAATTTTTGTTAATTTAGAGGAAGTTCCTAAATTCTGTGAAGAAGGAAGTTAGGGAAGTAAGATTTTTTTTTTGCTTGTATTTAAACAAATTTTTGTCTACTTTTAGAAATTTGTTCAGAAAAAGCACGGACTTCAAAATGAAGTAGAAACTGTAGAATATACCGGTCAGATGGATCTTAATGTCTTAAGCCTGTAAGTCATTTACCATTCCTTATTTTTGAAAAAAGAAAATTGTTTAGAATAGCAGTAGAATATATCATTTTACAGATTTTCCAAAAGACTGAAAGAATGCAAGGTGCTCGACCATTTGGAGATGAGCACGACGCAGACAAAAGAACTGCAGCAAGCCGCAAGTGGTGCTTTATTAACAACTTAATCGTGCCTTTCTCTTATTAACATCATAAATGAACGAATGCTTTATCTGTTATGTCTAGATATCAATTAAAACTGAGAATGGCTGGAAGATATATGCGATGATTGGATTAAGATTCAAATATGTTTGAATCTGGTTATATATTTTCATCCGTTCGTCAGTTCCGTTCTACGTAACATATATCTATATTAACTGTTAACTGTAGCAAATCATTAATATATTAACCATAGAATTGCCTTAACTGAATTAATTACAGGAAAGCATTCAGAACGAAGTGAAATGAAATCCAGTGTTAGATTGGAAGGAGAGGAAATCACAGTGGAGCTAACAAAGTTCAAAAATAATACAAATCTCATTAGTTTGTCTTCTGATAAGGATTGCGGTGGAAAGGAAGATGAAAAGTATATTTACGTTTTTTGATAAGAAAAATTTGTTGGAACGGGATTTTATTTTAACCGCAGACAACTGTAATGTTTCCATATATTTCTTAATATTAAAATTAACGACTAAATTGATTGCAGTCGATGATTTAAACCTCTGAATTTTTAGGTATTTCTGTAGACAAATTTGACAGCGAAGCTATTAGTGAAAAATTCGGAATAATAAATTAGTTATCTGAAACAATGAAAATTCAAAGAGTTCGATAAACACTAGCAATATTCACGAAATCCGATGTTTATTTCTCATTTTTGATAAGTCAAAACTATGCCATCTTTCGAACTTTACAGCAAATCAAATTTTTGTTGTTTTTGTTTTTAACTTTGATATTTAGTCCATTTTTCTAACAAGTATCAGTTTCACTTAGGTATGGTGAAACTATTCCGGTTCTTCTAAATCTTTTCTCGAATAACGGAACTGCGGAACCTGTAATGTTCGACCCGCGAATAATGCCGAAATCACATATTTCAGTAAGAAGTATACTAATTCTTTTCCAAATTTGAAAATTTAATAAAATTTAATCATGTCAACAATTTAAGAAATTGTTGTGACTTACTGTATCAGTGCGATGAACGTACCAGCATTGTTGTAGGGTTCATTTTTTTTCTCGACACATTTTGTTAATGTCCAACACAGGATAAATCAAGAAATGACCGACGAAATAGCGAAGGCAAAGTTGTTCAGGAAAAAAAAATGGAAATCTACAGTGGCTGTAATAACTGCTATGATTCATCGGGAAGTGAAAAAAAACGGTGATACTTGTTCCATAGACCATATATCTGAAAATTACTTTTGATCTGTCGAAGACTTTTATCACCATTTTTTAATTCACTGTAAATGCCAGTGACTGTGAGGAATTAAGTTCACTTTCCTGTAACTGAACAAAGAAAGAACAGGACTTTTTGAAACACATTAATGAACATTTATAGTATCAACAGTTCATCTAGAACTATCATAGGCTACAGTGAGCACCTATTTAAAAAAATTGATTAGCATTCAAAACATTTACCATTCAAAAAATTTGAAACAATTGTAAAAATAAGAAAAATATTAAAAGCGTAACTGTGTTGTATTTGATTCCAATTCATTTTGTTACATAGGACCCAGTATATCAACTTCAGAAAGCATCATCGATGCAGGCAGGCGATCACGAAAATTTTGTATATCACAATCGATTATGTCATTGTGAGAAATTTTTTCTTCTGCAATGTAAATTTTATTTCATTGAAATCATATGGCATTTTTTAAGTTTGTTCATTTTTTAAGTTCATATGGCATTTTTTAAGTTTGTTTTTAAACATATGGCATTTAAAGGCTACATTCCTAAGCAACACTTAAGGATTGTAGAAATAAGTGGAAACAAATATCTTACACAACTGAAAACATTTGAGATTTGTATCTAATTGTCGAACTTCTCAGTTTATTATTTCCCATGAATTTTTGAAATGTATATTCTGCAGATATGAACTGCATATCTTTTAAGATCAAGAAATTGCAATGGAAGTGCTTATTGATTATAAAATGAAGGAGTTAACGGAATGTAAGCATTAAAAAGGGTTGGAAGAGGTAGTTCATTTAATCGATCTTATAGATAGTCTCATTTCTTTGGTTGGTTTGAAATTGTGAGAAATGAGTCAAACTACTGTGTGAGCCTATTACTCCATATGAGATGATATACTTTTCCCTCCTGTATATTACATTACCATATTCTTTTTTGATCACTTGTTTGTTTCTTGTTGTTTGAAGCAGCAGTACCTTAAAATTTTTAAACTTGCTGATTGATTATCTGACGCTGCATGGTATCAGAAACAAGAAATCGATAATTTTTCTAAAATTTTCCGTGAGAAAGGTGTGACATAGTTACAGTTAAGAGCCGCGCCACTAACGTTTCTCGTCATTAATTAACCCTTAATGTTTTGAATCAATTTCTATGATGGACCGACAATGCAATGTTATCCCTAATTCAAATCTTATTTTTCTGAGCTTTTTGCAAAAACTGTCAAGTGATGTTTTCGCTTTAACAAGTTGTTAGAATAATTTCGAAGTGGCATTTGCCACTCAAGAAAGTCAATCTGGTCACATCGAATCATTCTGGAGGACTTGGAATGTTGATTTAGATCTTAAAAAAAGGAGAAAGGTTTTTGCAATTGCCAGTTGTTTGGTTGCATACGAATAACTATAATTGTTTTCCTTTTTACTTCATGTGAATAAAGTTGTTCATTTTTATTATAAAATGAGGCGAGGGACTGGTTATGATGTACTTCGACTCATAAACCGAGCAATTGAGGTAGGTGGGGTCTATTTCCATTTTGAAATAGGTGAAGCACTGGGAATTTCGTTTCATGGCTTCGTTAATGGCAATTTGAATTACTTATGACCACAAACTATATTCAAGAGGAATGTGGGAAGGATGTAGTAGCAACTGGGTTAAGCAGTGGCTTTGGCTTATTGAAACCCACCTCACTTTACGCACACTTGCTTTCCAAAACTCTCGCAAATCACGTAGGATGGTTCACATTTTGTTGTCATCTCTTGATATGCATGTGTGTGTAGCTGTCATCTGTGGTTCTGTGTATTCCTCATACATCAGCAAACCAGCTGTACCTGTCGGCTATAGATGTGTTTATGTTTGATAAGTTGGTCAGTGCATCATCAGCACTTTTTCTTCCTAATTCATGATTCGGATGCCTAGATTTTAAACAATTCAAATGAAGTAGATTAAGGATACTGAAAAATACTTCTTGACTTCTTTTTACCAATAATAAGTTACACTTACGTTCACTTGCTGAATTAATCGCCAAGCCGACTGTTGGTTTATGAATTTATCCAATCACTGCTTACTACATCCATTAGAAGTAGTGAAGTACATGGAAGTTAACTGAACCTACCTATAAAATGAGAGAAAGGTGTTGATGAGATTAGTTTGCAATGCAGGTGAGATCCCAAGTCAATATATTCCTGCAAATGATGAGCTATCCATTTGGACTTCAATCTCTATGCTGATGTCGAAAATTTTGTTTTTCCTGGATTCTATCACATCTTTATGTCTGTCATCCCATTATTTCAAGAGACTTCTTTGTAATTTAGTTGTTTACTTCAATTAGTTATAATTCTTGTAACTGATAAATTGAATAAACAATAATAATAATAAATTGTCTAAATGCTCGTTATGCCTTTTTAAACTTCGTTGATCAGTTAATTGTCCATTAAAGTACTTGACGAATACCATGTTGAAAAGCTTGGGATATATAATCTCAGAGTCTATTAGATCTCAAGTATGAATCAATATGCATCAAGCTTAAATTACAGAACAAATATATAGGTAGGTAGATGGTGACCGTAGGAGAGGTAACATTGAAACGCCCATAACGTGACTCTTTTTTGAGCGCATCATGTACTTGTGTAAAAAGTAGGTAAGATCGGAATTCAAATTGTTTACTTTCACGCATTCTCTCTTCAGTGGCATTATGCGCCCAGAGAGCTCTTTCAATGAAATTAATAACAAACTTGAGTGAACCCATGCAATCATGCAATATTGACATATGTCATTCCTATTTCGTATCCTTTTTCTTATGGCTCTTTAGCTGACTTGTACTTTAAGCCTCAATTTTTTTATCTTTTTTCCCTTCCTTAAAATTTGACAATGAGCTCTGCTTTATTTCTTTTCTTTCGATTCATGTTAAAAGTCTAAGTCCGGATTTACATGGCTTTTGTCAGGTTGTTTTTGCGGAATCGATAACGTATATATCGGCCAATACCAGATAATCAGGATCACTGAAATCCAAGTGAAGTGATGAACGAACAGACTGTGGTACTTCACATATCCTCACACGGTGATCGAAAAAATTCTACAATCCTCCAAACATCTATAGAAAGCTTTACAAATATACTTCTCATATGACATCGATGGGAAAATTCGTCTAAAGCAATAGGTTGCGCGCCCACACGTATGCGCACACAACACATACAGAGTGGCCCAAACAATCCTATCAGTCGAGAGTAACTCTCTTTAGTTTATTTCTGACTAATAGACAAGAACTAACTCTCTGCAAAACAGATGCCGTATTGCTTGGATTCAGTCAAATCAATTGCAAGTATTTGCCTTCACTCATACAAACACACACACACACATACATACACTTACATACATACATGCATTAGGCACTAGCATTGTCAAATGCTGAAAAGGTAATTTTAATTGCTCTAAGGATGAGAGATTTCGAGCTAAGATTGCATTGCATTTTCGACGTGTATTTGTTAGTTTGTTATTATGGGTAGACTTCCCAAAATAACGCTTGTCTTGAATTACTCCCTTATCATTTCTTGGCCATAACAGTCTCTTCATTATGATTATCAGTGTTATTGATTTTCATGAAGACTGAAAGGGGACCCATTAACATTTGAAGAAAAAAATTTTTCCTGGCTGAGAAAGGAACAAGATGTCCTGAAGAGAAAGGTAAGAGGGAGACTTTCATCTCTCTCTCCGTCTCATATTATTGTCTTTTATTCTCACTCATTTAATCATGCACACTTGATACCTTCAAGGTACTTATTTGCAAGGGCCGGAATGCATCGCTCTTTCTAAATAAAAGACTTTACATCATTTTCTCCAAAAGTCTAAATTTTTGGCCATCATATCACTTTATTCAATTTATATTTATTGATTTCTTGGAGTTTTAAATTCTAATACATAGAGAAAGTGTTATATTTTAACTATTATCCGTTGCGAACTATTGATTTGTTGTTTTTTTGAAGAGTTGAATTTTAAAAACTAGATGAGTTGTTTTTGAGGATTAAAGTTATCGTGAAATTTCGGAAATTCCTCCAAGAATATATTCTTGAATTGTGTTTCTTAATGGTTTTCTTCAAAGTGTGTCATAAAAGCAAAAGAAAAGTTGTAGAAAATTATGAGACATCTTTTGCTTTTTAATGGTGGCACGATAACCATTAATGTTACGAAGTTTTTCTCCCAACAAATTGTTGAAATATATGAAATTTCATATGCAAATAAATGTTTCTAACACAATGGAATGAAAAAAACATGAGAAAAATTGGTAGAATTCTGGAAATAATGCAAAAAAAACTTAATGATTTCATTACTACTCTTGGCCTTGAACTGTCCTCTTGTTGAGAATTGAACGTCATTTTTCGTCACTTGGCATTTCGTAATAGTGCACTAATCTAAGGAACAGTCACAAAAAAGTTATTTTGAAAGTTAGATACCACCAATAGGCCAATTGGTTGTCCGATTGCATGTAAAGGATCTGATCTTTTTGGCTAATCTAACCACAATCCTTTCATTTTGCTGTTCAGTTTGTATTGAATTTATCGAGGAGCCTATGCAAAAGTGAAGCCCAACGTAAAGTTGAAGAGTTTTTACGAAATGAGACATACACAGCGTGCTAGGAAACAGGAGCAAGGCGAATAGCATTATTTATTCAGCATAGAAAATTATTCTCGATACACTTCTTTCTTGAATTTGTTATTCATTTTTGGAATGCACAGGGAAATGTGGCATTCCTCACACTGCTTAAAAGAAGGGAATAGTAGCGCCATCGATTTTAGACATGAGCTTAAGATTCCTATAATTGAGTATTTTAATTATTTAATATTATATCTTCTCTAATCTACACCATTTTTGGCAGCTACTTCATTTCCAGTTAATAATTCGAATTTGGATTAATTCTGTTTTACTTCAAGTATTTGTAACATCAATTTCGACGTATAATTTCTCGACCTTTTTTGTGATCAAATTTAGCAAACTCGAGGAGGAAACATAATATAAATAACTATTAGAATATTGTAAAAAGCAATGTTCTTAGACATTTTGAAGGATAAATGAAAGAAAGTGGGTGTTGAATAGATTCAGGATTTCTATTATTTTCTTCCTGTTTCTTTTCAGGTTCTGCATGATTATTTGTTTGGATGGTAATCAGTTTGTCAAGGTTGGCAAGTTCTGTACGCTTTTGTAAATAAATTTTTTCCTCTGTCCAAAATATGAGTGAAGAAGTTACTATTGGAAGAAAATTCTAAGCAATTTTATTGAGTAGTATTTTTTATATTCATATTGTTATATTACTTCTCTATTGAACATTTCCGCAGTTTTATCCAAAACTTCAAACCATTTTTCTTGATCGCAGATATTAATGATTTGTTGATAACATACTAATAAGCAGCAACAGAAATAAATATCATGACTGCTTGGAATAATTATAATTAGTGGCTATATAATTTTGTTAGATCTTCCAGTATTTCCTGATATTCGATGTATTGAACCTAATTTATTCTTGTTATTCTGAGACTATTTTAATCAGTTTTATTTCATTTATTTTTTTTTTTAGTGTAATATTTGCATCATTTGAAAGCTTCAAAAAAAAAAAAAAAAAAAGAATACAGGAAAAGTTTCTGGTTTGGGAAGAAATTTTTGGATTCAAATCGATGGTTTCCAGTTTTCTAGTACATCTATCCAAATTTTAACATGCTTTTAGAGGGCTGATATTAAAATTCATGTGTACTTACAAATTTTAACATGCTTTTAGAGGGCTGATATTAAAATTCATGTGTACTTAATCACGATGCATTTTTCGAGTCGAAATTCTAAATTAATTTCTGTGAAGAATGACATGGTTGAATCTGAATTCAAACTTCTCGTGGTTTTCCCTCCCATCCTTTCTAGCTTTTTGCCTTTCGTCAATTGTTGAGTGTATATATGTTTGTTTGTAAATCTGTGTCATTGGTAATTTGTTTTCATTAAAATGTTGCACTGCTATGAATTCGTGAAATTTTCAGAATTTTGAGAAATAAGTTGATAATTATACTTAAATACCAAACAGAGTTAAAAAACGACAACGGTTACATCAGAGGAACAACAACAGCCCCAGCAACTGATTCCCTCAAATAATTGCACGACAGTTGCCGGTGGATCTTTGGATGTCACTACAGCTACTGTCACGTCATCCATGACACCCGTCGATCCACAACCATTTTTCTCCTTGTCACTACCACCAAAAGAGAAATTCAAATTGGCCATTGTAAGCACATTTTCTGTATCCTGTTGTATTTGCTAAAATTGCGCAGGCGCCTCGTGAGCTTTTAATTTTTAATCTTAGATCACAAAATAATTTCAATAATATCCCTCATTATCATAGTCCTTGATTCTAAATTTTATGAAGAAAAATTGGAAAAAAAACTCATTATTTTTCAGGATAATGCTGGTGACAGTCTTTCGAAACGTCAATCCCGTCGTACAGTGACGGTGTTGGATGGTAATTATCGAGTAAACTCTGCAGAAAATGAACGTTATCAACTATCCAGACAAGATGCTTCCGTTAGCCATGCTCGACGAAGTCCTTTGGGAAGGTCGTTACTCTCTTCTAAACCTTTAATATTCCACTAGCAGTTACCATAGTAGTCCGTTAACTACATTTGTAAATTGGGATTTCTTTTGCAAATTTTGGCCTTGCTGTTATGTAACAGATGTGGAAAGCACTGGCCTTCAAAAACATCTTTACTAGGTCTTCTAGATATTCTTCCTAACAGTTTTCAGTGCTCGTGTTACGAGTCTGCACTCTCTAGTCATTATCAATGGTGACTTTTAGTTAAACTTAATATATTTGTCTAACCATTAAATTTGACACTCTGCTTTCCCTAAAGTTGGTGAATAACAAGTCGTTTTGGTTGTGCCTGTTAAATTGACTTTTTTTTGTATTTTTATGCCAGGTCAATTTTTATAAACATTTACTGGAACATAAGAGCGATTAATGTTCAGATTTTAGATTTTGTTTTACATTTTCGAAATCAAAACAGTCACAACAGTTTATCGCTTCTTCGACTAAACTGTTTTGGATGAGAAATGATTGTTTTTCGCTTTGATTAGATTCGCTTTAAGTCTTTTTTTTCGCTTTTCCATTAATGTAAGCATATCACGATTGGCCTGGAGCATACGACGGCGACGTCGACGACGTCGATCTTCCTCTTCGTCCGTAATACTATATGTTTCGTTCTGTACATCTGCAAGCACTTCTCTGAATGCTTCCTCTAATACTCCGAGCACTTTCTTCGGTTTAATGTTCTGCAGATACATTGGATTTGTTACGTTGAATGTTGCTGTGTGCTTACTGAACAACGGCTCAGTGGGCAATACCATTGCTGTAGACCAGGTACAGCAACAAAATAACATAAAGTAAAGCATCTTCAAGGTAGTTTGAACACAGCTGGACGAATTTGAGGCACCACCCATTTCTGATGAAGATGATAAACCGCACTGATTTATCTCCAACATTAATAATCATTTTATACTTTTAGTTTATCTGCCTCTAATTTTTATGTCTTTTCAGTTCCTTTGCAACTCACAAATTTTATGACTGTGTATGGTCAGTCTTCTCCTCTTTTCATGTTGAATAAGTCGTGTTGAAATTAATAACACTTGCAATGAGAATACACGTACAGATAGCATTAAGGATTGAATTATGACTAGTTATTTGTGGAGGAATACTTTCAGTGTTGTTTGAACATTTGAGGAAATGTTTTGTGAAACACCGATAGAAGGCGAATGTATCGATTTATTTGCCTAGTCTAATGATGACGTCTGTTATTTTATTGCTTGTTTGCTGCGTGAACTTACTTGTCTGCTAAATCCTTCCTTAACTTTCTTCTCTGTTTACAATTTTTTTGGTAAAATGTCATCTACGATTCGTTATTGATTGTCGACATTTTATTAAGCAACTTAGGGATTCATTTCTCTTCCATTCTAGCATTCTTTTCCATCCTTCAATAATAGTTTATATTTTATACCTATTTTTTCCACGTCCTTTTTCACTTCTTTTCTCGTTACATTATGTTCGTTTCCATCGTAATAGAATTTAAATAAGTTATATTAGGATCCAGGTCGACCTACCATGCCACATTTGGTATCACAGTACTAGAATTGAAACGCAATATATAGGTGTACTCTGAATTGTAAAAAATTTATTTTGAATGGAATGATTTTTGACCAAAATATTTCTTTGGAATGATTTTAACCAATATATTGTTATTTTCCAGTTGACAAGCTTACCGAATCACAAAATTTGTCAAAAAATCCTTCCCTTAATGAATAGCTTTGAAATACTCCTACACTGCTGAACTTATCATGAATGCACTTCTTAAAATTAATGAGAATTCGAAATAATTTAAGTCGGAAATTATTCAGAAGAGAGACAGCTGTTGATGTTTCTTAATTATAGGAATTTTAAATGGATGTGGTTATATGCTTGATGCCGCTCAAAGACGGTTGTGAACCGAACAATTATTCTAAGCTTGCCTGGTTTGGATGTACTTCATTTAAGAGATCTCTTTTATCTGTCAATGACCTATTTCATAACCATATTTTTTTGTTCTTCAAGATGGAATGAATCGCTGTCTATCAGCGTTATCGAGCTGTGGTGGTGTCCGCACTTGCACTGCAAGAGATCTATATTTCCACAAGAGAATCTAATAATTCTAAATATGAAAGGAACAGAGTGTAGTTTTTTTCTGGAAGTGAAAGCCAGAATTTATGCAACAGCTGTTCATACACACAGTTATTCTTGATATTTTTAAAATCAATTTTCTCCTCTCTTTTCTTTCAATCATTCATTATTTTTTATTCACTTCATTCGTTCATCTTTTCTTTCATTCACTCCAAACTATGCTGATCGGAGTATTTTGATGGTAAAATATTTGATCTATGATCACATTTTCCTTTTTATATGGCATATTCCACAATATGAATTTCTTTTCAGCGTGCTAAGTTGATGATATTTCGCACATCACTTTGTTATTTATGAATTGGCCATCCATTTATAGAGACAGATAGAAGCTCATTTTGCCATTAAGAAAATGTTGTAACTAATTGTGAATCTATTAGTTGCGATCTACGGTCTTCAGTCTCCTGATGCTTGCCAACAATGGAAAAATTGAAAGAAAGGACCGATGTTACTGCAATTTTCATTTTTCATTGCACTACTTCCAAATCATCATCGTTACGGCCAGTGACATCATCATTTATAATCATGCAGTTTCATCTGTCGTCGGAGAGCTCTGTTTTTTCTTTTTTCATTTTTAACGGTCCTTTCTATTTTTCCCGTCTCGCAAATGTTTTCTTGTTTATTTCAAGTTCGTCTTACTGCTTCTAATAGCTCTGTGATATCAACTCTTCGGTCTTATTACTATAACAATTCAAAGAAAGTAATGCTGTACGATATCTTTGCTGGAATAAATCTTCCTTTCCTAGAAAAAATCTTCTCTTTTCTTTCCCAGGTATGATCCAAATTATAGAGAATTATTTACAAATAGAAAAAAGAACGACATATCACATCTTGAGGCTTTTGCCCTTGTTAGTAATGCTAAGTTGTATGAGTATACATTCAGGATCAAATGAACTTGAGAACTTTCGCTTTTTCAAATTTAGTTCAGTCTTTAAATTTGCTTCTGAATTTACTTTTTATCTTTCTGACAAACATCATTTTTTTTTCTTTTTATATATGTTATTCTTATATTTCGTTCTATCTTTTCTTTGCATTGTCAGCGACCACATGAATTTAACCATCCACTTATTCAACAAAATTCGTGATGAAGATCTTGATTACTTAAAATTACTTGATTACATACGTTATCAAGCATTATTGATACTACAAGAAACCTGCCTCTATTTTATTCTTATTTGGACTTTCCCAGCAGCGAGTGGAAATAAGAATTAAGAGTGATCGAATGTATGATTTAGTTGGAATGCATTATTGTTCGGATGGTTATTTCTCATCTGCATCTGAAATAATGCCATCTTCCGATGATGAAAAGCGGCATCAACAAACGATAGCAGATCACTTTCATAGCTTGAATGAACTGGAAAAAGAAACAAGCATCGAAGTGCTGTAAGAATTTCGTTTATCTGAAAGTTAAGCAACACCTCTATTCCCTTTATTGAATCTAAAGAATTAATTTATATAAGAGATCCTTCTGTCGACTATATTTTATCGAATTAATAACCGTTCAGGGCAGGAATAGTAATTATTAATATGTTCATGATTGAATAGTAATTATTAATATATTCATGATTGCATAGTAATTATTAATATATTCATGATAGTAAACACTGATAGAATTAGAGGTGTTACGGTATTGTGTCCTCGATTACACGAACTGCTAGAAGAATTGGTGACTGACCTTCAATAAAATACAGTAATTGTGATGTTCCAGGAGTTAAGAGTAATGGAATATATAGTTTAGTTGGAACACATTATTGTTCGGATAATCATTTCCACAAGTCTTTACGTGATAGGAAGTATCAGTAAAAGCTTCATTGCTTGTAAGCTAATTTTTAAAGGTAGTTTTAAATTCTTTCTCGATTCTAGGGACATCGACAACAACTGCATGTTCACCTTTCTTCGAGGAAAAGATTTTTATGAAAAATATCTCATCTTTTCCAAAACACGATTGCAGTAGGTTGCGAAATAAAATAAAAGTTTGCTATAAATAACCAAAAATTTATTCTTTTGAACTATGAATTTTTTGTTAAAGTCCTGCAAATTTAAAATTGTTAAGTTAGCATTGTTTAGACCAATATTTAAAAATTCATTCTTCAATTCTTTTTCTGTTCTTAATCAGAATTGAGTGGGTAGTCGAATTTTCCAGAAGCGTAGCTTTTAAGTGAGTATTAAGTGAGCACACTTCTTACGTGTGGAAAGACATTTCATACCTTATATTTCGTTCTTCCGAGATATTTGTTTTTGCGATCAATTAAATCGTGGTATTAGGCACTCTCAATCTGTACTTAATCTGAATGAATCTTAAATATCATTAAGGATAGGTTCCAGCTGAGATACTTCTCATGCCTATTCATTTACTGGATTTTTGTTGACATTTATTTGTAAATGATCGACCGGAATATGTACTTGACAGCTATTAAAGCGACTCATAACTCATACAGTATTCTTTATTTGCTGTGATCGCTTCATCTGCATATAATGTCTAACAAATTTACTCATTTTAAGTAATATGCATTCAAGAAAAGGTATGGAAAAGTGCCAGTAACAACTTTGAAAGGGATGGAATTGCAAAAGAAAGGCATGAGAGCATCGCTTCAGTTTTATTCATATTAGACAGAAAAGGAAATAAAGTTCTTAGAGCGAGAGAAGAACTTCGCATTTGTACTTTTCTTTATTTTTGGATTCGACTTTCATTCACACATAAACTTGTTTCTTATCGATGACTCAATCTCCTGAGTTTCTGCAACTAAATAAATTCAAAATATTCTTTCCTTTCTGGATTACTAATAGTATTATATTATATAGTGGAAATCTTTCATGCAGGTAAACTCGCTGAAGGTAATCTATCACATGATTGTTTCGTTTAATTAGATGAAAGCTGCATGTCCATGGTTCCAATTTTATCGTCTTAGTTATGACTCAGGAAGGGAAGAGAAAGCTACGACTTTTTGATTTTATTGAAGTTTACTGAGATGATAGATTTGTTAATGGAATTCTAGGGATCTTGCCCTGACATTTTCTTATGAGAACGGACAGCTTTGGTCAATACAGTATATGGAGAGCATTAGGAAAGAATTGAAATTTTTAAATGAGTGGTACGATTCAAAAATAAATTCTCCATGCATTGCATAAAGAAAAATTAATTAATTAGCCAGGTACGTAAGATTTTATGGAATTCGTAGGAAATTTCTCCTTGTCTTTACCGTGGAATGTTAGACAGATTTGACATCATTAAGCTGGCTATTTTACGATATGATGGGAATTCGTTGACAAAATAGAAGAAAGAGAATGAAGTTGCGTTTTTATGGAGTCGTTTTCTTCTTTCTTTCTTCTTTATCTTAAAATTAGTTCCAAACAGCTCGACTTCCAATTTTTTCCAGACTTAAAAGCTGAACTACTTAAAATTACTTACAAGCTTATTAAATTAATTTGACTTCGAATTTAATGTTTAAGAATTTAGATTACAGATGTATTTTAAAGCGAAATAATGAACTTTGTCTGCATGCTAGCAGGATACTCCACAAACAAGACAAGTAAAAGCAGCAGTAGCACATGAATTACTTTGGGATATTTTCAAAGCAATAGCAATAACCATTTCGGTGCTGCAAATCTCCTAATGAGATTGGTTTACACGTTATTCTATTACCTTGCTCGTTGGATCGATTGAGTGCGCTGTTAAAGTTAAAGTATAAATCTGCGAAGATAGTTGAGTAAGGATGTTAACTTTCATAGCAGCTGTTTGAAAGATGCTCTAAAACAATGGAATCTTGCAATCTAT